CTGACACTTGTCCGATGGAGGTGTTAGCAGACAGAACCTAACAGACTGGAAATGTAGAAGGAAGGTGCGACTTTGTTTTTGGCCACACAAAGCTCTGACCAGCTTGATGGACCATGAGAATGTAACCCTGGGTAGGCTAACAAATGGTTCAGCCTTTTTGACTGAAGGATACAGTAAATGCATTGTACCCCAAGGGAGTTTGACATTTCTTGAATGGAAGTTGTTTAGGATGGGAAAGAGGAGGAGCTTGAGAAAGTGCTTAAAATGGACAACTTGGGCAGGGAAATTGAGACTCAGCCACATTAGCACAACATAACTGCTGGGCTTAAAACCTAAGCCCTGAGACAGATTTCAGTGGCTTAAGTGTTTTTATTTTCAAAGTAAGCCAGAATTATTTTCAATCTTTATTTCCTGATAGGAGTCTCAATTGTCTTTCTGCTCAAGTGTGCATCTACTCCATTATTTTAGCTCTTAGTGGACATGTTTCCATTCTAATGGGGATACAAGCACAGCTACTTTTTAATTTTATTACACAAGCCATTTTTGGCTTTTTTCTTGGTTATATAGGACTTTGTCTGGGATCAACATAGCTCACATATTAGTCCAGTTTCTCATGTGCGTGTGCAGTGTCAGAATTTAAACCCACAAACACAACAGTATAGGGTTGCAACAAGGTTGAAACCTATGATCACTGCAGACAAGCAAGACTGCTAGCCATTGAATCATCACTGCCCTAAAGTCACTAAAAAAGATTGACGCATCCAACTTCATCAGGCATTTGCTGTTCAGGTTAACCTTCCTGGACTTCAGCATATGATACATATTTATAGACAGACACATAATAAAGTTCAACGTTACCTTCATGCGGAAAAATGTAATGCTTGTGAGTAGGTCCACGGTTGACTTAAGGTCTTTCATTCTACCTGGATCGGAGGCGGGGAAGTTATTCTATTTCAGGGATACAAAAATATACAATAAATGTAAAAATATAAACAAATCAAGATGATCATTATCTTCTTCTTCTTCTTCTTCACATTCACCAGATGTAAACTCCTGAGAAAGGTACTGGTTTTTCATAAAACTTTCGGACTTCTTCCAGAGTTTTGCATGCACATCTGTTTTACAGAGCAGGCTAATTTGTATGCATACTACTGGTTCCTTGCCTTTTAGGCAGATGCACTTCAAATTTAAAAGGAATACTCCTAATTAGTCAACTTGCAGGACATGTCAGTTATGATGGGGCAGGTGGTCTATTCTTGTTATCCCCCAAATGGGGCCTTGGAACCCACAAGAGGAGATGATCGTGATTATGTTGGCTATTGTGAATAACAACATGCCATGTCAGGTTACTAAGTCAGAAGATAGGTACACAGCTTCTAAACATGCCACTCATCTATTCAAGACGTGTGATACGTTTAAGAACTTTACTTTAGGGAAACAATCTAGTGGTGTCCCCTTATGGACATAAAGTGAATAAACATGAGTATATACTTAACTCTCTGCTCCATCACTGTGCACAAGTGGATGGAAAAGCAAATGTCCTGCAACACTGTCTCTTTACAACCAATGTTGCAGATATATATTGGCTCGCCAGCAGATGACTTTGTCGCAGGTCGGGGACAGTATTTGGGTCTGTCTCCTTTGATTGCATCAACACAACAAGAGTCCTTTTCAGGGCTCTTGGTGGCATGCAGTGCTAAGCCATATTATATGGCACACATACCACAGTCACAATTATAACCTAAAGCTCTCCAATCGGGGATGCTAGTTGAACGTGATGATTCTTTTAAATATTTTTTTTTGGAGCAAAGCACCTACCTACACAGTGTCCTGAAGCTGAATAGAACTAAAAGAAGAAAAAATGAATAGTCTAATAAACAAAGGCTTGGACCATGAAAGCAAATAAGCAGCAGCCAAATGACAAATGTTCAACAACTTCTTTGATTTGCAAAGGTATGGTTGACAATTCTGCAGCTACAATAGAAAACTCACATATTACTATATATATATATATATATAAACTGTAATTTTACTTGTTGCATGTGCTTGATCTCTACTATGGCCTTTGAAGCTTCAATACTGTGAGAACAGCATGCAAGAGGATGACAATGTTACATGTGGGTAGACATCACCATGGGATAGACAAAAAGAAACCTGGTTGAGGGCATCATAAAGATACAGGAGAGAAAGTACTTGAACAATCATGTCAGATGATTTTCAAATAGAAGATGTCACCGGAGAATGGTCGCAAGTTTGATCATTAACATAAATAACAGAATAAAACACTTCTGTTTTCAATAAACAGTCCTCCTCTTGTTGGATCTAGAGCCCCATTCTGCAGTAAAAAGAATAGATCCATTATTACCCTTAAAAAGAATGTGGTAAAAACAACTAGTTCAGGGTTTGCTAAAATTGAATGTTGTAGGCTAAAAGATGTAGATGTCACAGCCTAGCTGTAAACATAAGACAACATGCTAACTTTATTTTTAAGGGTGAATGATGATGATGAAAGGAGAACAAGAAGAAAAAGAAGAACAAGAAAAAGAAGAAGTAGAAGGATGAGGAGGTGGAGGAAGGAGGAAGTAGAAGGAGGAGGAAGGAGGAAGAAGAAAAAGGAAGGAGAAGGAGAAGAAGAAGAAGAAAAAATCACTAAACTGAATGTAATGCTTACTCTATACATGGACAGGTCTATCCGCAAGGAGTTGTGCAACTGGTCTAGCAACTTGATAAATTTTTCTTTCTGTGAAGAAGCATTTTAAATGAGGTTACAAATATAATCAAGCTCAGATTTATAATTTAATGAAGGGTTATATTTTAAATGCAGATAACAAATATCAAAATTAGGTCATTTTCAATGTACTCATGCTTTCGACAACCCTATGTGAGAGATGTGACTGTATTCAAAATGAAATGTTTTATTACTAGGCTTCTCTAGAGATATCACAATCAAAACATCCTTGTGTGGGTTCTGGGGCCCCATTATGGGGAAACAAAAAAAGACCCGCTGCCTACTAAAAAAGCACGTCCTAGGAGTCAATTAATTCGGAGCCTTCTTCAGTGTCAGTGCACATCTGCCTGAGAGGCGAGGAGCCAAAAGTCTGCATCTAAATAAGCCAAAATGTGTGAAATGGATGTGCACACAACACTCAGTTTCTGGAACAAGACTAAAGTCTGGAGATGGATGAACACCTAGAAGTTTCTGCAAGAGTTAACTGCGAGTAAATGCAACAACAAAAGGAGGAGAAGATAATCAAAATCATTTGACCTCAGTAAAATTCAGATCTGCATTTATCGAGTCTAAGCTGTATTTAAGAAAAGAAAGCCACATCAAACATTCTCTACATAGAAACATAACTAACAGCATGCAGCAAGACTAAAGAGAGGGATGCCATGGATAGAGACAACATAGAGGAAAATCACGTAAACGACACATATTGAAGATGTATAGGGTAGGAAGTGATTCACACATGAAGAATAGCAAGATACCATCACTGGCAGGAAAATATAGGCAGTGGTGCAGTCAGAGATCTGACAAATTGTAGTACGAGGGTAAATCGATGAGAAAGTTATAAAAAAAAAAAAAAAAAACTAAAGACGATCACAATTTGAAAATGATTTATTTTTACACATACACTGTCCCTTTTTTTTCAACATAATTTTCACCAACATTGATGCACCTGTCCTATCGTTTTATCAGTCCTCCCAAATCTGCTGCATAGAACTACGTGCTCTGTTTTCTAAACCACATTTTCACTTCACATTCAACTTATGCGTCATTTGTGAATGTCACCCACCAAGGTGGGTTTTTTAGTGGACCAAAAACCATCTGAGCACACTATTTAAGCTGCTACAGTGTTAACAATTACTTGTCCATCACTCTAATCATCTCCTCCACCCCCTGCACGAATGTGTCTATTGCAATCTCAACAGGACGACCATATCAGACTTCATCAACAATCGTAGAGGAGAAAAATTCTTTACCCAGCTATGCACCACTTTAAGTGATAAACATTTGACAGCATAAACAGGAATCATTTCCTTTTGAATGTCCTTTGCTGGCAGCCCTTTTGTTCCCCTCCCCCCCCAAAAAAAAAAACCCTGCACAACAGCATGTTGTTCTTTGAGGGTACACTTTATAAGTACAGCCGCCATTTTGTTTCTGTGTTGCGCATGTACAAAGGGAGACATAAAATTCAAAATTGATGTCACCTAATGACACCTCTAGAAACCATCAACTACATTTCCCTGCCATCCCATAACTATTTGTGACTTACTTATTGACTTCTCATATATACAAACAGATCAGTGCAGAGAGGAGAGAGATCTGTTTAAGGTTTCCCTGTGTTAAAAATTGGCACTAGATCATCATAGCAGAATGCAGCATAAAAGCAAAATATTCCTGCCAGAAACTAATAAAACACATTGTACTTGTCAAAAAGGGTATTCCACAAGGACATCTTCACATGGCCATTTGAAGCAAGCTTTTTGGAGAGGTCAACAACTTTAAATTGACTGTTGCTTTTGATTAAAAAAAAACAAACAACACACACACATATTCAGGAAGATACGTTAAAAATATCATACAGTGTAAGAAGAAAAAACAAAGGGAGAGAAATAGGAGAAAGAGGAGAAGAATGATGATAAGCAATAGCAGAAGATGAAGAAGAATGAGGCCCTGTAAGAGGAGGAGAAAAATGGAGGAGGAGATGAAAAAGGAGGAGGAGGGACATAAAGCATTAGTGAAGAAGAAGAGAAGCAGAAAAAAATTAGATTCTGAGGTGCTGGAGGAGAAGCTGAGAGGATGAGAAAGAGAAAAAGGAGTAAGAAGAAGAAGCAGAGAAAGAAGAATAAGAGTGAGAATTAGAAGAAAGAGGACGTAAAATTAAACATCTAAAATAAAAATACTGCCAAGCTTCTACAGCACTTACCCCAAAATTGGAAGCTGCAAACCTGTCGCTTGCAGAAACAGCAGTAGTTGCTGCCGTGTGAGCATAGAAGGCATTAATATTGGCAAGTAGTGTACTCATCAGAGCAGGTACTCCAGCACACATATATTTACAAGAGAGGCAAGAAAAATGTCTGGGGAACAAAGTAATATAACATCATCACTGTAGGCATACAAGTAAGATATCTATAAAAGAAACAGCAGAAGTATTAATAAAAGCAGCTGAAAAAAGATACCAAGCACACACATAAATGTCAGAACCTAGCCTCTAACCCCCCCCCCCCCCCCCCCCCCCTTCCCCGGGCAAAAATCCTCTTCTTCTGCTTCTTTGCGATTAGTTTCGTATGCTCAGATCAGACCATCAGGTGGGTTGCCTCTATGAACTTGCATGTCAGTAGCAGGTCCTTTATAGTTTCCCAGAGCTTGCTTTGCACACTTTGCTCTTGAGGCCAGGTGTCTTTTCGAAGTTGTATGTAGAGTGAACAGGTCTGCAGAATGTGCTCAGGTGTTTGTGGTCCTGTTTAACAGGCACACTGTGGGCACTGTACAATTTTTATTTTATGCATGTTGTTGTTGAGCCTACGGTGTCTTGTTCGTAGATGGAAAATTGTTGTATTTTGTTTTCTTTTGAGTCTGCTGAGTGGATCCCAACCAAGTAATTAAATTATCTTTTCAAGTATCTGTGAATACAGTTATATTATTTCAAATTTTTATTATATTCACTTTGCTTTAAAATTAAGCATTAAACAAGGCTTAGACTCCTAAGGACCCCCCCCCCCCCACCCCCTTTTCCCTCAGAAAATTTGAAAGAAGACTGAACGTCTCAATGCTTTCTTTCTTCTGGTACCCGTAAGCACACACATAGTTACGAACGGCTTCCTTGGCTCCTATTTTGACCTAGCCTGAGGTAAAAAAACAAAACATGGATTACTTTTACATCCTATTGTATAAAGGTGGAAGTGACTGAACTGTTTGCAAGAGGAGGCAAATGTAACACAGATCCTTCTTGTGTGTAAGATACGAACATCGCCTTGTAGAAAGCTTGAGCCTCAAAGAAACAGAAGGAGATTACAGATTATTTTTAAAGTAACGTAGGTTTATAGTATTACAATATATTTCTGCACAAAAAAGGATTTTATTTTGATTTTGTCCCAAGCCCGCAGTGGAATCACATCACTGTACATATGTATTTCTGTGACGGTTAATCAAAGTTTTACTGTATCATGTTTATACTTAATAATACTAAGTTGTAAACAATTATCATTTCCGTGTGGGCTCCAGGGTCAACATTTGGGAGAGGGGAAGGAAAGGGTAGGGGAGGGTTGATGTGGAACGGGGGAAGGAGGGGGGGGGGGTGTGAAGGGCACCTTATGAAGCATATGTACAAGGTGACTAATTAGGAGTCTGCTGAAACTGGACATGTTGGGCTGAAAGGCGCAAAAATCACAACCTCACTGTAAACCACAATCCAATGTGCCAATTGCCCTTTTAGGGTAGAAAGCACACAAAGAAAGAAGAAACATTTAAAAGTCATGTGATTATAACCGTAATATTTAACAGATGTAAATGCATCATTTTCAGTTTTAACTAAAACCATTACAGTAAACAGCATGGTTATGTAAAATGTATGGGCGTTCTGAAGAAAGAACAAGTGACCACTAAAAAAAAACACACAAAAAAAACTTACGTCATAGCCTGGTAGATCGATTCAATGCCATATCTCATGGCAAACTCATCCACTATTTCTTGTCCTGGCTCATCAAAGTACACCTTCCAAGACTCATCCGTCTGTAACAGAGTTTATTGTCTTTTGTAATGAGTGCAATAACTATTTAGTAACGATATCTGTGACATCTGAAAGTAACATCTGACAGAAGTTGTGATACAAAGATACAGACAAGAATCACCATATTCAAAGATTTGTAAGAATGGGTAAATTCAATGATGGTAAGGAACTTTACGATAACTACAACAATCTGTTTAATAACAAGTTGTGTACTCAGTTCCTCTACTTCAGAGCTTTCCAAACTTTATATGTTAGTGACACACTTTTTAGATAAACATAATTTCACAAACCAGGGATGAAAGTTTAACATAGAATTTTGCTATTTAATAAATTATGATTGGGTGACACACTTTCACACTGCAGCTGACATACTGTAACATGGCAAACGATCTGGAAAGCCCTACTCTGTATGGATGTGAATGACAGGCAAATGAGTAATCAAATTATGCAGAAACTGGCAGCAGTACAAAAGTGGCTTTTGAGTTGGCAGCAGTAGAGAAGTGGTTTTTGAGCTGGGAAGGATAACCAGGGCAACAACTGCCTGCAAAAGTCAGATGTGTCTGCCGAAAGGCACAAATACCGCAGCTATGTTGTTAACAGATATAACACATTTACATCTTCAGATTAACACAGAAGAAGAAGATATGGTAGAGAAGAAAACCAACACTGAGGTATTATTAAGAGCTGCGTGATACAAATGGAATGATTTCTAAAAAAAAAAATGTGCATTTTCAGAAAGATATTCACATTTCTTTTACTCTGACTAACGTACATAATTTATGGAACGTGAAACAAACTAAAGACAAAGCACACAAACCCCTTTGGCATTTGGAAGCTTCACCTCTCCTCCATTCTGCTCACACAGATAATGAAACTGATTCTGTAACAAACAATTGAGACAGTAAGATAAAATTAAACCAATCCTACACAGTAGGACAGTAAAAGGCAATTTTCAAGATTCAAATAATATTTATGTCCTGGACAGGTAATAGATTAACCACATCACCCACCTAGTGAAACCTACCCTAAACCCTGTACCTTGGGAGCAAGTCAGTGATACAATACAGATAATGACTTCAGTCAATGGATTCACAACTGGAGATGAGTCCAATGATCTTCAAAAACGAACAGCTGCTCTTAGCATGATTCATGGAAACTATCCCGAACACTCATAAAAACAGTCAAGTTTATAACAAGAACCTGACTGTTGGTGTAAATCAGAAAGCGAACACAAGAAGAAGAAGAAGATACCTGTTATATTCATTTGTGCTATCCATCTATGAGTATATTCAAGAAATGACTAAAATATTCAGCACTGCACTACTGCTTCCCCCATTTGGCAATTTCTGTTAATGTGATATTGTGTGTGATATCATATTTAATCTAAACCTATAGGTCTCTAGGACTTTCTACTTTTAACATATTTTCCATTACCACAGGCCTTTTGCAGAATAATATATTAAAAAATTAGTATGGTCAGTGTCTGTATATTTATAGATGTCTTTAGTAGCAAAAGTAATTATTTTTTTTTGAAATATCCTGTTCAACCCTCAGAGTTATAATTGTGATATATAGTGTTAATCAATTTCTCAGAGTATATATTTGTTATTTTAAATTTATATATCTAGTAAAAATGTATATGACTAAAATGCAATTTGTGTTGTTTCAAATTTGCTTTGATCTGGGTTGTGATTATGACAAAAACTGTACTATGATTAATTAGACAATCCTACTAACATTTTGTCATTAACATGGTAGATATATTGTTTCCTTAGTATGCAATCACTGATTACTTCCCTAGATCTTATCTTTAGGAAAAAACTTCTTCAAAGATGCTGTGGGCATTCTTAACCCTACGATATATGGACTTTAGTCCTAGTAATAAAACTGCTATAGTCAAATCAATATGATGACAAGTCAGAATCTTCAAAAAATTGAAACACACTGAATACATTTTTTTCTGACTTTACCTCAGACTTGACCTTGTGAGAAAAATAAAGACCTTAGCCATCTTGGACAGCAGGTTACTCCAAGGTGGTGCACTTGGTGTAGTCACTATAGGTGCCTTATATATAACTCCTAAGCAAGTTGAATGGGTATCTAGAATGCACCTTATACAACTCTTTAAATGATGAGGACAGCAACAAATTCCCAGCACTGTATATAAGTGGGGAAAAAGACCTTTACCACTTTAACCACTCTGAGGTTATATAAAATAAAGTGATCAAATACAGTTCTTCTTCTTCTTTGTTTACTGGCTGAAAGCTCCAGCAGAAAGTCCTGGTGGTTCATCCATTTGGAGTTTACCTTCGTGCCAGGGCCTCTGACAACAAAGCTCTAAAACAGGCTTATTAACAACTTGATCTAGTCTCAGATTATAACACTAGTAGTGATAGTTAAACTTCCAGACAACAGCCCAAAGCAAACCGCCACCAGTCAGTCAATCAACACATTCAATGAGCACAAACCTCATGAAGGCATGTGTATTGTACGTGATAAGGCGCCACCTTCTCCTCACCCTTGATCTCAACACTGATGTGAAGTCGAATAGCACCAGACACAGCTGACTTGTCCGTTCGTTTCTCTAAAAATCAAGCCCGAGTTAAAGTCAATGCAACAGCAAGAATGTAATAAAAAACCAGAACAGATGTCAGGAATAGATGAAATGTCAGAGAAATAATGCTAGAACTGAAAGTAATAAAAAAAAAAAAAAAAAGCCTCGAAATGAGAATTGCAATAAAAAAGTTGGAAAAGAAAGATTGTGATGTTTCAAACAGTAATACATTTTCGTGAGGATTAAATAGTGGTTGTGGTATAAAAAATGTGTTGAAAAGAACAAGGCTGGGCTGTGAAGCATGTCTTCCACTGAAAAATGTATGAGAAGAAAATAGCTACAAAGTAATACGAAACATTCTAATCACATTTAATAACAATCACCTGAGACTTCGAGTGTGTGGTTCATATTTTCATAAAACAATACAATGTATGGACAGAAAAACAAGTCAGATGAAATCTAAATTAATCAGAGAAATTAAATATAATGGTCATGATTTTTTGGCAAGTTTTAAATAGAAATAAACTCTAATTCAGAGTTAAGTGGCACAACAGTTGGAATACAGCAAGTAGTAAGACAAACGGATAAATACCAGGATGACTGGGCCAAATGGCACAATCAAGACAAGAACATAGACTTTCAACCTTGGCTCCCATGTGAGATGTGTTAGTTATGGCACATGATGATAATACTGTCCTGACCAAACATCACTCAGTGGACTATGCGGCCAATAACATATTAGCCACTTTACACTCCATAAAAATCTTCTGTTAACCCTTTTATGAGGTTCTGGAGCCATATGGTTACAAAACAACTGCATCTTAACCATTTTGCCCTGTAAAAATCTTTAAAATGAAGTTTTTGTCTGTATGTATGTCGTTCAACTCTACCAGGACTGCAAAATGAGCAACCAATTCCTGGTGACACAAAGTGCTACCATTCAGATGTGGATCACACGGGCACAAGTCCCTGAAGCCCCATTCAACCAATTTGGTTATATTTAGGCCCTCGACTACAGCCGACATGGGGCTTTAAAATATCGAAAAATGTGCATGAAATGACTGGAGAACAGATGTAAGGCTTTAAAAAATTTTTTTTACAAAGACAACATCTATACTATAAATCCCAAACCTTTTCTGTATTTTGAATAGAGTAGGTAAAGATCCCTTTTCACACCTTTAGGCCCAACGGGCATATAGGAGGAGCACCCATATTTTTACAGACCAATCGGCACTAGGTGGTAATGTGGTTAGCATTACGATGGCCATCCTTACTTTCCCAGGACATCCACCCTGTATGGATGTTAGGCTGGCTCGACATGTGACGCCCCATACCATGATAAAAATCCACTCTGTCAGCAGTGGGTTTAGATCGTGGTGTTTATTATAATTTAAGAGTTAACTCCTCCCAAACCGTGACCAAGGGTTCATTTTCATTTTCAACATATAAATCATAAATCCACAACCCGTTATGTCACAGCTATGCCGATCTCAACTCCCAAGTCTATCATTCTGGCAAGTGATGTGGATTCACTGCCCCCAAAGTCCTCCACCTTTCCCATTTCTCAGAGGGCATTAATAATATCAGCATGATCCATAGGTTGACCGTCGGTATTGATAGCGGATCCAGCCAACCTATTAGCTCTTTCCTCTCCGTCGACGCCTGTGTGTCCCGAAACAAATATAAAGGTGACTGCACGCTCTATGGACCTATGTAATCAACTCATTAAATCACTGAGTACACATGTGTGGGTGTAGTTTTTGTGTTGGAGCCACGTGAACGCTTGCATTACTGCCATCAACTCCACTGTCATGCCTTCACAGTGTAACAAAACAACTTGAGCATTTCACTATGAAAAGCCCTATTTACAATTCACAAAAACAACAGAGAAACAAAAACTGAGATAAATGAGACCTTACCTAAACTGTACCAGACATCCATTTCTCCAGACAGGGTTCTGACTTCAATAATAGTCTGACCTAAAAAGTCATCAGATTCTCTCGTAAGCTTCTGCCGTAGTTTGGACTTCAGATCATTGTCTTCATCCCTGCAAAATAAAAATTAGTATTTTTTTGGGTTTGCTATTAAGTGTTTTATAATTTTCTGATTCAATATTATGAACTTGATCATCTAATAGAATTCTGAAGCTATATACAATATCAATACCACATGGCAAGTCCTTTGCAGAATATTGCAATAATGATAGCCTGATGAAAAAAAAAAATGGATTCTTAACCAGTTCCTCTGCCTCATGTATTTTCACATCCTGTGTGTCTTTTATGTCCTGTGTTCACTGTCTGTTGTTTCCTGCTTTTGTTCTCCTGGAACCATGCATTCTAATATCACTCTTTCTAAACCACTAGGTTGTTTGATGTGGCCAAATTATTTATATTTATAAGACACACTGGTCCTAGGCTTGCCCTTTAGCTCAACACTAGACTGAACTAGCCCAACTTTTAATTGCACAGTAGCAGTAGTGCAATAGGTAGCATGCTTAACCTGAGACTGGGATTCATAAGTTTGGATTTTCTGTCTTCCCAGTGCAGACCTAACATAGGTATTAGGACATGTCCAGGAAAGTAAAGGTGGTCAGGGTGATACTTACCATATTAGACAAATACCAACTGGTATAGGAAACACAGAAACTGGCATAATGTGTCCAATTCATCTCAAGGCAAGAAAACTGGTTCTTTACTTATTACTTTATTAAAAAGAACATAAAATAATGTCAAATACCCTGGACGGTCAGAGTAACTAAAAACGATTGTTTGAAAGAAACTAATGAAATTCGATCTCTATATACAACAAAAAGAAGGAAACAAACATTGTTCTTTGGCCAAGTAATGAAAAAAAAAAAGCATTGGAAAACATTGTGACAACTGAAAAGATCAGCGGAAAGAGGGGTAGAGGCAAATCAAGAAAGATATTGCTGGATGGGTTGAAACGATGGCATGGAGGGATATCATTAAGAGAACGGTTCCAGGCAACCAGGGATCGTGATCTGTTTTGATGCAGGAGCACCTACGCCAACTGGCAGGGCAACTGATGATGATGATAACGCACAGAGGAAATTGAATGGTATTGAAAGATTACTAATGTGGAGCTTTAGGAAAGAACTAAACAAATTCTGATTAATCAAGAGGTTAAAAAAAATATGCTGGCACCGGCTAGGACAGACACTGAGGAAGCCTGGGAACAGTATAACTAGAAGTCTCGGTGCACTGGAACCCCTAGGGTTAAATGGATAAAGGCAGACCAAAAAAGAGGGAAAAAAAAAAAACAAACATGAAAAAAGAACTAGAAAGTGAAGGTAACAAGTTACGGAGGACATGGAGTTGCATGTGATAACAAAGGCTAGGATGATCTGGCATGTGTGGGTGAGGGTCTATGCTTCTTTGTGGAAAAGAAAAAATGGCAACAGAAGAACAAAAATTGAACACACAGACAAAAGTAATGTCCTCAATGACAATACACTGCAATGCATTCAGACTTACCATACTCTAACTTTGATTCTGTCAGAGGAATTGTGGCATTCGCTGCAAGACAACAAGAATATATGCAAATCATTAACATAAAACACCTCCATCATCTTATTTCCATAATAACAATAATAAAAGTGGTATAATTAATAAAAAAAGAACACAGTATAAAGTAATCACATTTCACAAAATAAAAACACTAACAAAAAATCATTTCACTCTCCAAGAAAGATTTTTTCTCAAAACATGATATTCCATTTTTACAGAATGTACGGAGTGATCTTTCCAAAGTAAAGCAATATGTGACATTGTGAATCATTACACACTCATCAAAGTTGTCTCTGAGCCTTGTGAATTTTAAAACAGTATTTTTAATTTAAATATGACCGAAATATTCAAAGACTATTTTGAACCAAGAAGGCAAAAATAAAGACATTCCAGGAAATCTGAACTTAGATAAAAAGTTACTTGACTAAACCTAAAACAGATCCAGAAAGTAAAGGTCAGTATGATAATGACTATATCATCAACACAGTGCCAACTGTCTACAAAAGACAAGAAGACGAAGAAGAAAAACCCTTTTCCACACTTTCAGGTGTACTGGGCATATAGGGCTAAACCTATATTTTACTGACCAATCGGCACTTAGTGGGTGGTAAGGTCTGCATCATGCCAGCTTGTCTTTACTTCCCAGGACTGTACCTAGTACCCATTCAAGGCTGGGTCGACCTGGAAATGAAGATCATTTTTGAAAAAAAAAAAAAAGTCCAGTTCCATGACCTTCTGATCCGAAGGCAAGTGTCTAGCCGCTACACCATGGCGACCATAAAAGATAAAGCCAGCATCAAATTCCCAACATTGTGAATTGATTTGAGTCAAGAACTGACATCACTGCACTCGGGAATTTCCCATGTGTGCTCTGTCCTAATCTTCAGCAGCCAGCGCAGAGTTCCAACGCTGATGTTACCAGTCACAATCTGGTTTTATGTCCGTCTTGCCTTTCCTCTGAGGAAAGTGAACCGGCCAGACCTTCTGGTCCAACACTGAAGAAGTTGGGGGGGGGGGGGGGGGGGAGAGGGGGGGGGGGACATTTACCACTTTACTCACTCTGAGGTCACGCAAGCTAGAGTGACCAAATACACTCTAAGCCAAGCTTATTACCAAGTTGATCTGCTCAGATAACTATTAGTAGAATTTTAGGCTGCATGGCTAGCCCAGCTGCCACAAACAGAACAGACACAGCCTCCCAAGTCTACAGAGAATGATTCAGAGGAAAATCGAACAGAGGGTCTGAACAACTTTTTTCTCACTGGGTTAACAGACAAACGAACACACAAACAAACAAACAGGTGAAAATTCAAAATAATATCAACAGGAAGAAAGAAGCAGGATTTGAACAGAGCAAACATATATTAAACAGGCATCTGAGTTTAAATATCTTAGAACAACATTCAGTGAAGATGGTAAATTTGACGAAGAAATTGTCATTCGATGCAGTAAAGCTGGCCAAGTATTGGGACAGCTAGCACCCCTCTCACAGCATAAGGCTATCCCAATCAGCACAAAGAGACATGTCATAAAAAGCATATTCATTCCTATGCTATCAGTGCCAGAAGTGGTCACTAACAACAAAACAACAAAGAAAATTAGTAACCATGGAAATGAGGTGTCTAAGAAAGACTGTAGGAGTGACCAGAAGAGATAAAATCAGGAATGAGGTCATACAAAATAAATTTCGCACAGAACCAATTCTAAATTACATACAAAGACAGCAAATCAAATGGTTTGCCCATTTGGAGAGAATGCCTACTGATGCTATACCATACAAGGCATGTACCAAAAGAGAAGTGGGATGTAGAGCAAGAGGTAGACCACAAACAAGATGGGAAGATAACATCAGAGAAACTCTACAGCACCACAACCTGTCTATAGTCGAAGCAGCCAGAAGAGTACGAAGCCGGACCTTGAATCTCCCTCGACATCCGAAGCGGTAAAAGAAGACATAAAGAAAAAGAAGAACATTAAATCAGGTTGCAATTGGCACCATCAGCATGGGGACTCTTCATTGGCTGCTAAAGAGGGGGACATGGCATGTATGGGAATGTTCTGAGTGCAGTGATGTCAATTCTTGATTCACTAATTCATTTCTACTCAGTCTGACCACAGGTCAAACCACTGCAGCAGTCATGGAATAAATGGTTATCATCATTTATATCTAAAACTATCTTTGCTGCAGAACAACATTAAAAGTCAATGGTTAACTCTTTGAGTCCCGAGGAATGCATCATACGCTCATAGATTCCTACCTAGAAGCCCAATGAACGCATGATGCGCCGATTTTATTACTTTCTTAACTACCCACTGGGCCTGTGATGCTAAACCCCCTGGGACTCAAAGAGTTAAGCACCAGCAAGGACATCAAAATGAAATCTTTGAGAGCATGCATCTTCCCTGTAGCAACGGAGGTTAGCCGTGGACTATCTCCCGGTCCTGAACTCTCTAAGTCCCATGGGGTTTAGCATCACAGGCCCAGGGGGTAGTAAAGAAAGTAATAAAATCGGCGCATCATGCGTTCATTGGGCTTCTAGGTAGGAACCTATGAATGTATGATGCGTTCCTTGGGACTTGAAGAGTTAAGAAAAGATAATAAGGGCTTCTGAGCTGAAATGCTATATAAAGATTCTCATATTACCACAGACAAAGAAGAGAAGAAATAGTGACATTCTAAAAGATCTGAACATCAAGGAAAATCGGCTGAATTAAGAATCAACATCACAGCATTCAGGGAACTCCCATAAGTGCTCCATCCCCATCTTCAGCAGCAAGTGAAGAGTTCCAATTCCGATGGTACCTGTAACTGTCTGCTTACCCGTCTCATCCCTCCCCTGAGTACAAATATATGATACCAGAAGAGTGAAATCTATAAAAACTAACAAATAGAACTTCTCATTCCACTCTGGGTTGAGGTCTTGAGGCACTGTCTTAGTTCTCTTCTTCACCTTGCCCACTTGAACAGTCACATAAGGGTCGCTGGTACCTGTCTTGTCCTTGCCGGTCAAACCCTGGGCAGATATCACTGTCAGGAGAAAGAGTTCAATGCTTAAAATTAATATATTTGAAGTCATTTCTTAGCATGGGTCAAACCCTGGGCAGATATCACTGTCAGGAGAAAGAGTTCAATGCTTAAAATTAATATATTTGAAGTCATTTCTTAGCATGGGTCAAACCCTGGGCAGATATCACTGTCAGGAGAAAGAATTCAGTGCTAACAATTAATATATTTGAAGTCATTTGGGTGGGTTTATTCATACAGGATCTTAGCATGCTCTCATTTTGAGTTAAGCCAGTTGGAAATATTCCATTATTGCATCAGATGGAGGTCAAAAGAAAATAAAACTAATACTAGACTTTGGATCTTTAATTCTAATGTCAAACCAGTACTGTCGTAATGTGATGATACATAAAGAACAACTAAAACAATTACCAATAAAATACAGTCATTAACTGGTGCCTGCGCAGAATAGAGGGAATTACATTGTATGACAGAATCACTAATGCTAAACTTTGGGAGGGAATTAAACATGTTCCAGTGGACCAAGAGATGAAGAAAAGACGCTGGCATTGGAAAGGACACACACTGAGAAAACCTGATAACAATTTAACTAGAATGTCTTTTGCAATGGAACCCACAGAGATATAGAAATAAAGGCAGACCAAAAATTACATGCATTCTATCCAACGCCAGCGTCTTTTCTTTACCTCTTGATCCACTGGAATTTGCTTAGTTCTCTCTCAAAACTTTACATTAGCGATTCTATCATTACATTTAATTTTCTCTATTCTGCGCAGGCACCAGTTAATGAATGTTTGTAGTTTATTAGTAATTGCCTTAGTTGCTCTCCATGTTTCTGCTCCATACAAAAGTAAGGATTTGACACTGGAATTAAGGCATTTTAAGTTTAGTATTTTTTAAAATTTATTTTGACCTCCACAAATTCCCTAGTGCTATGAAAGCTCCTATTGCCTTTTGTATTCACATTTGAATACCTCTATGAGTGGCTGTGTGGTGGCCATAAATATTAGCCGACCAGCACACTGGTCATAGCATGTAGATAATCCAGTTTCGTTCTTTCCAGGACAAAATTTTTTGTTATTTGAAGCCCCACCCTGGCTTTTGCCAGGGGCCGCAATATAGGCAGGCCATAAATATGGCCAATTGTCTGAACGCGGTTTCTGGGACCTCTCCACGGCGATACTCATCCGCATGGTAGCACTTTGTGTCATCAGGTGTTTATCGCTTGTGTGATGTCCTGGTGGGGTAGAAAGTCAGTCAGTCAGTCAGACACTGGTCACGACTGTGAATCCTGCCTGTGGTCGTATGTTTAAATCCTGCCCGATTCATTTGTCTGAATCCTGTCCTTGACAGGTGTCTGAATCAAATTACTATTCAAATGTAAACTAAATTTAAAGTATAGGACAAACACTATATGCCTAATACTCCTCATGTCAAGAGAAGGGATTTAAAAAAAAAATCCTGTTTTTGCATATCTGCGTAATGGAGTTTTACAATTTTTTTACCCTACACTTTTGATTACTTCTCTGTTTGAGCATAGTAAAAATCTGGTCTAATCAGCTGCCCCTGAATTAAAGAAAAAAAAAAGTTACAATATGACAATATGGTCATTTGCTTCGATGACAGAAAAACAAGTATCAAATTTCATATTCAATCTCAGATGAGGAAGAATTTTAATTTCCAGCTGGCAACTACTCAGTCTAGCAAAATGGCACCTGCTGAAATAGAAAGACAGGCAGCTCTTATAGACAACTTTTGGCCTAACCTTTTCTTGAACCTGTGATACAGCTAATTACCTCCCCCCCCCCCAACCCCCTTTTAAATAAAAATGAAATGAAGCTTTTCATTTATATGCAATATTCCACAGTGAAATTGTATGTATGCTTTGCAATATTATTTTATTAATATACATTTCTCACAAAGAATATTGAAACTGTATTAAATCTCACATTGGTTAGTTACTTGCATTTCCTTCACATGATACTGCAACAGTTGGCTAACTGATGTTTTCCTCAGACAATTTTATGCTACAAAGTTTGCCACTGTTTCTGAACATTTGATGTTCTTACCATCGTTCATGTTCATAGTTCATTTTAGAGATCATCTTAATCACACATTGGACACGACCATAAGTGCTCCGATCTCCTGAGTACATCTCCAACAGTGTTTTTTAGGCAAACAACTCCCATTCTGTTCTAGTTGATGTCAACGACGGGTAAATCCCACCTGGTTTTCCTGTCTCGCTGCTCCAATTGGTGCACCCATGGTATGCAGTATATTCAGTGAACAATCATTTTCCATGAAACTGAAAGCCTCACAGAATTTGGTCTTTCATATGGCACTGATGATGCCATTATTAAAAGGCAATGCAAAGAGGTCTGCGGAACTGTTTGCCGCTGAATCTAACTAGATATGTTGGAATATAAAACTGTGTCATAACTGTAACCACTAAGCTAAAGATGCTAAAAAACTTCACTTTAAGTCAATTTTTAGTTAAGATCATAAAATAAAATAAAATTATATAAGTAAAACATTTTATATACATTGTTGTCACTTGTGTATAAACCAGTATATAGGAACAGACCGCACAGAATGCTCACAATAATGAATTAATTACACAGAAATGAAATGTGAGGTATATCTAACACCATACCAAACATAAATACAATATACAGTAATAATGAACAGACTGTATAAGCACTACACATGAAACAATCTACTACCAACAACAGCTTCATGCAAAGAAATGAAGAACACAGCTATAGTGAAGAAAATATACAACTGTCAGCTAAATTCTAGACGAACAAAGTTAGTTGAAGACACAAAATTTACTATTTATAATGTAGAAAGTGATGTACATTTCAGAGACATCTTATAAAAACTGTGCAGAAGAATATATTACAGACAATTATAGCAGTCTGGGATATAGAGAAACACTGACCACTTCTGACAAATTTGCCAGAGATAAAAAGTTGAGGAAAATGTGGAAGAGACAAATAGCATTACAAATGGGCAGACGCTGTGCCAGAACAATTTAAAAACAAAAAGCCAAAATGTGTGCACCATGGACATAAAAGACAGAAAATGTTGGCTTGGGCACCCAAAATGGTTCACTTTAATTTATGATCATACTTAATGATGATGATGCTACTATTTTTGGGTTTTTGGCAAAACAAACAAGCCCAAAGTTACTGTTATAGGCAAGAGATCAACTCTAAAACATCTGAAGACAGAAAATAATACCACTTCCTTAAATAAAAAAAAAAAAAAAAAAAATAACCATATAACTGTTTGAGATCCACAGCACGATACTAAGAAAATCAACTGAGGTGACACATTTGTTTGACCAGTATGTATGTGTTGAACAACAAAATTTGAGATAATGATCAGATCATCAGGGAATCTTTGCTTCAGACATGTCAGACTGTCTAATAATTCTGAAACAAATCTGAGCTTTAAGAAATATGAGAGAATGTTAGAATGATATACCTTGAATACAAATACGAGCTGACCACTTGGATGTTCCATCAAGAACCAGCTGTTGGGCAGCTTTCATATGGCCGTGGTGTGACATTGTATCCACCCCAAAGACACGTCTGCCAAGGACACAAGACCCAACAAATAAACAGTATTAAAATAAAAAAAAAAAAAGCAGGCTAAGCACAATGCAATACTAGCCTAATTAGTACATATTTAAACACTTCACTAAAGTAAGGCTCTTGTTGGCCTATTGGAAATTCCAGAATATAACTGACATTTAAACTCACAAACTCTTATTTAAAAAAAAAAAAAAAATTTAAGCTGACAACAAATTCAACTAAAAAAGGTTTTCTCAATAACAGAGGTCAGCAAATGTTCTATTGCATATAATAAGGAGAATTCTGGTTTGTACAGTCACAAAAATTGTCAGCCAAGTTTCAGGGATGTTATCAACATTATCAACAAGACCCTTTACAGTCAAAGACAGGCATATTGTTCACAGTTGAAGTATATTCAAGTCTTCCAGCAAAAGTGCAAAGTGGCAACAAAATTGGCATACAATGAGAGAATATATTTGAAGTGTGAACTACTGTCTTTTTATTTTCTACCACTGTGAGCCAAATTATAGGAATAAAAGCATCTCCAAAAGTAACCTAAATTCATTTTCTGTCATGAACTATTTAATATGTCAGAATTTACAATATGACAGAATTTACATATAAAAAAAGTGTTTTTCACTGCCCACTTTTCTCCTAAAATTTTGCAAAATCAAAGTATAACCCTAATTATTATGTTTACCAGATTATCATCATAGTATCTGGGTTTCCATATACTCTATTCTGATGAAATTTGAATACTTACATAAAAGTTAAAAAAAAAAAAAAAATTCAGCTTTGCCACACCATGAAATATTTTCTCAAAACCAACCAAAGCCTGCTTTTGTGCTCTTCAGCTACAATACACATGCCAATGAAGTATAAAAGAACAAACATGCAATGCTTAACAATAACTAAAAGAGAATATGTGAGCAATAAATGTGTGTATTATTTGCATATGGATTTTCATAATAAAAATTCATTATAAATTTCATTATAAAAGGTTGTCTAACAGCAGTAAAGGATTACTGGTATTACAACAGTGATTTGATCATCTGTGCACTTCGATATTTTAAAGTAATAAATTAACACTCTTCAACTTTGTAAGGAAGAAAATCAGGGCTTTAATAGCTGACATGCTACAGCAAAATTGTGAAAATACTATGGATCAAGAAGAAAATAAATACGACTTTTTAAAAGATCTAAACGTCGAGGACAACTAGCACATAAACAGGATGTTCTCTTGGAACTTAAATACTTTAGCCCTATCAAATGTTACAGTAGCTTGGAAAGAATAGTGATATAGGGCATGGTAGTCATAGAGGCAGGGGTTGATTAACACAAAGGTGGGCAAAGAACATAACAGACACTTTGGGCAAGAAAGTGGATGAGGAAAGAGAGCTAGCACTCAACCAAGTTTATTCCACATGGACTGGTGGCTGTGTGATCTCGAGGTATGGTGTGCGCCTTGTTTCAGGCCACTGTGAGCGATAAGATTTTTTCACGTGGGCTCCTAGTAATTTCCCATGGACTCTGGGTAGTGAGATTGAGTGCCTGTTTGTATTGTTGCACAAATTAAAAAATCCTTTGGCAGTTGGAAATCGAAAAGAGTAGCCTAATGGCGCTGCCCGGGCAAAATTAGGAGTTAAAAATCTACCCAAAATTTTTCAGGCTCCTCGCTGGTGCTACGAAGCCTGAGCACTGCGCTGAGCTACTTCGGACTCAGACTTGAGTTAGAAGTAGAATGGAGCACTTATGGGTTACTACCACTGTGCCATGATGTTGATCCGTTGTTCAAACTTCAAACTATTCCAGATGGACTGTGATGAAAGCAATGTTCTGTAAAGGACTTGCTGAGAACACAACAACGGTAAGAAAAAAGCATACACTGATACTATACAGTTTCAACCAAAGTCTTTATCAACATTCACCTGTGCCAGCACATCTTTTCTTTTTCCCTCATAAGGCTTCTTAGGTTTAGTAAGTGTTATCTTTATAATATCAACACATCTGCAGTCACCAGTTTTTCAAATTCTAACAATTTTCAGACATTCTGCAGGTCTGACTGTTCAGTAGACTGATGCTTATTTGCAGGTCTGACTGTTCAGTAGACTGATGCTTATTCACCCAATTTTCCTCAAGTGCACATCAAACCATAACACCCTCCGTGTGGGTTTCAGCTGCACTTTGGGAAACAAGAAAAAGAGTGGGAGTGGGGGGGGGGGGGGGGGGGGGGGGGGTGGGGGGGAGGGGGAGGGGAAAGAACACACTCAATGCTCCAAAACAAGCATACTGCAAAAGGCAACCAAAAAGGGATTTGCTGAAATCAGATGTGTTGTGCTCAAAGGTGCAGATACCACAAACTAACTGTAAACCGCAACACAACATGCCAACTGCCCTTTGAACTCTTATGAAAACTCCTAAACTCTAGCCAATATCTGAAGGGGCAAGTATGACAACTCTAAACACATGGGTATACTAACTTTACTGGAGCTAAATACCCAAGGATACTGAATATTATTTGTAATGAAACAACTGTTTTGTAAATTGCTGTGTTTATTTGTGAAGGTAATATTTTGAAGTTTGTTGTTGTTGTTGGTACTCAATGGGCTATCATTATTATTGCAAGCTGGAACAGGAAGGCCATTAAAATGTTTATCAAGCAAACACTGATCGTCAAGACATTATAGTATGTTATTATTTAGTTTAAGTTTATTGTTAGTGTTTATGTTAATACAAATATATTAGAAGAAATATTTTACTATGGATAGAGTAAAAGAGAATAATAAAATAATTAAGATGCTTAAAGTGTGAATGCACTAAACCTATACAAAATAGCTGTAAAGAAATAAAATATTTCAGGAAAAGAAAAAAGTGTAAGAAGGAGGAGGATGATGAGAAAAGAGGTGGAAAAGGAGAGAAGGTTAAGGAAAAGGAGGAGGAGGAAGAAGTGAAGATGGATCAGAAAAAGGAGACATTAAAAGATACAGTAATGCTGATAACTTCAGTTTTACATTATTTTTACACTCTCCAAAAGTGCTATAAAATAGTCTTATGAAAATAACACTGCTTTATGCATCTTACTGTGCGTATCTATGGCCCAAGAGGTTAGTTAATGGTTTCAAAATATAATAATTCCTTGAGCACCAGGGTTCGAATTCAGTGTCAGAAGGTTTATGAAATAAGTTTTTGTGTCATTTTGATAATTGAACGAGATTGTTGCCTCATCATTTAATATTCCCAAAGATAGTCATGAAAAAAAAAATCCTAATCTAACATTTCGTAGCTGCAGCAGTAGCCATACAGCCCTAAAATCTCAGGCTCAAAGACCCACCCCTGCCGATACCACAACAAGTGATAAATATAGGCAGTAATTGGTAGTGTGTGTGTGAGAGAGAGAGTGTGTGTGTGTTTGTGTGTGTGTGGAAACACCACACGCAATAAAACAACAAAATCTTAAAAGCATTTAATCCGACAAAAGCAAAGTGTTTAATTACATTAAAAAGTGCTTAATACAAGAAAACTGCACACGGATACTCACATGCAGTTACTGAACATATTAATTAAACTGGCTATTTCAAATCTATATTGAAATTTACAACCCTGTGCACATTAAGTGATTAAGTGGTTGGTTACTGTGTTAGACAGAAACAATTATGTAATAAAAAGTAATGGTGAGTACAAAAAATATTACACACAGACAGATCTGTCAGACATTTTTACCTCAGTGAATAGGTGATAACAATAACAAAAAAAAAAGAATATTATACTGTTCCATACATGACTCCAGCCCTTGCCATCTTATAAATTCACGCAATATCCTGCCATCTTGTTTACCTGTCTCTAACATCTTCCTAGTTCTTTTTGTTCACACTTTATTTCTTCAAATTCCGGGACAAATAACATTCTAATTATACTACAATCAAAGTGTGTCCTATCAGTGCAAGTGTAATTTCCTCTCCTGATTTATTGGAAGCTGTTTATGTTCCTCCCATAGCTGCAAGTCCATGATTCTATCACATAGTTTACTTCTACCTTTTCTGATTATGTCTGTAGTTTATTATAAGTTATTTAAGTCATGTTTTTGTTTAGCAGTCGTGTTTGATGTCAGAGTTAGCTATTCTAAGTTCAGTACAAGGTTTAATTTCTTTTGATGTCCATAATTTTCCTAGAGCTATGAAAGCTCTCCTGCTTTTTGTATTATATTTTAATATCTCTATCAGTTCCCCCATCTTTGTATACATTCTGCCAGGACAGAGAATGACTCCACATCTTGAAGCAGGATTCTACAGAAGAAAATGCTTTATTCTTCTCACCTTTGTCTTTCCCTAACAAATATTTCAAAATAATTATTGTTAACTCCCTGCCTGCATGTTTAAATTATTTTGTATCTGATTTTGTTAATAGGACAGAGGAGAAATGTCAAAAGTCCAAATCATGAAGCTCTCTGTCATGATCAATTAAATTCTATATTTTTTGGGTGGTGGTAGTTGTTTTTAAGTCTAATCTATTTAAACAGATGCTGTATAACATGAACTATATCACTGCACCAGATTTGACTCTATCTGTCAAGAGTCTGTACAGAGAGTGGACATTTGTGGAGGCAGGTAGTATCCCTTTGACCTCCACTTACAAAAATAGCATGGTTAGTTACGTATCCTTTACAGGACGTTGCAGAACCAACCCCAGCGATTTCTGGCAACTGTGGTTTTTCTAGGCAAATTTTACGTTCAGGAGTTTGCCACTGCTTTTCTAAACAGTCAGCTCTTGGTACCACTGTTGAAACCGACGCAAGAGGTTCTGCTGCCAAATTGCCTGCAGCTGGGATCAAACCTGGGACCTCTGCATTACGAATCACATTTGCAACGTCTGCGCCATAGACACCAACAAATAGCATAATTCTCTGCCTTTATTTAACATTATTTATAACCAATGGATAACTAAAACTACAGGAATGGTGACAGAACAATTTAAATTATTCAGAATTTAGAAAAAATAAAAAATATATGATTAGGACAAATATAATATTAAAGAAGTTAAACAATGACAGTTGTTAAAACTGTGTTACAGAGTTAAGAAAAAGCAGTGCAGTGGCCACAAGTCACAATATCAAATAACAACATCACCAGCAGCATTAGTGTTGGGTCACCCTTACCAGTAATGGCTATTTTTGCTGACCATTTGGAGGTGCCATCCAGCACACTTTGCTTGACGGCCTTCATGTGACCAGAGTGAGATTTTTTATCTACTCCAAAAACTTGTCTGAGCAGCAGCAAATACAACAAGCAGTAATTCAGTTCCTCATTCAATACATTTCACGTATTGGTAACATTGTAAACCAAGAAGAATGGTAATTATATCTAAGTTCAACATTTTACTTCACAAAGACAACAGATGTGCACTAGCAACAGTGAAAACCAGTAAGAAAAGTAGTTATATAAAAATATGACAATTTACAACTTGAAATTTCATTCAGGGAAAAAAATAAATGGAAAGACAGGACAGGGATCAGTAACAGTGTAAACCAAACAAGAATAGTATACACATGTACATTTTACAATTGTTATTTCAGAAAGACCCCCCCCCCCCCCCCCCCTCCCCCCCACAAAATGAAAAAAAAATTATGAAAAGATGGTATGTGCACCAGAAAGAGATAGAACCATGACAAACAGTAGTTTTTTTTAAAAAGCACAACTTTTTTACAACCTTTACTATCATTACAGCAAAAAAATCATGGTAAGGCGAAATAGGGATCAGTAGCAGTGTAAACCAACAAGAACATACACATGTACATTTTGCAATTCTCACTTCAGAAAGATACAAGAAAAACAAAATGGAAAGATAATACAGTAAAATCTTGTCAACACAAATTCCAAGGGATTAAAAAAAAATCTAGAGTTGTGTAAAAAAATTTGTGCTAGCCGTAAAACAACCCTTGCTGGGATGTTATTTATGTCAAGTGAGTTGATGTTAACAAGGTTTTACTGTATATCATGCACCAGCAAAAGTAAAAGCCACAACAAATTGTAGTAAACAAAAATAAAATATTTTGCAACTGTGTGTAAGTTGCACCTCATCAGGACTTCACACAAGCGATAAACACCCAGTGACACAAAGTGCCACCATGCGGATGAGGATAACCCATGGAGAGGTCCCGGAAACCCCGTCCAGCTGTTGGGCCATATTTCAGGCCCGGCTATATTTAGAGACGCCAGCGAAAGCCATGGTGGGGCTTCAAAATAACTAAAAATTGCATCCCTCATGGGGATCACGAGATTATAACAATGGAAAGACATCGGTGACAGTGACAGCTATGACAAATAGTAGTTATAAACACAGCACTTTACAACTTTCATTTCATTAAAACAAGAAGAAATGAAATGAAAGGCAACAGCTCCTATAAGGCAGACTGTTGCTGTTTAACCTAATCAGTGACTGTTTAAATGAAATAATGTATGAAAGGTGATAAATAAGAGGAGAAGGGTGGGTTAATTGCTAAAGTCTTCACCTTTAAAAAAAATATTTTGTAATTCACACAACAAACATATTTTGGGTGTTCTGTTTTAAATATATAATGTCTGACCTCACAAGTTATTAAATATCAAGCTTGGGCAATTGTGATGTCTGCTAATCAGTGTGTCACTAACTGACAGATACACCCATGGAGCCTAAGCTGTGTTAGAACTGACTGTCAGTACCATCAAAGAGAGGTAGAACAGATAATAAATGACTAGATCCCAATAGTAAAGGATAACATTATGAAGAGTATTAAATTTAGAGGGTTATTAAGTAAATTTTTTAAACCCTGAAAACCTAAAAAAAAGTGTTATAAAAGCTTGCATTCACAAACAGAAACATCACAAACATCACACTCAATACTACTGCCCCTAAAACACAAAGATATATAATATTTACTGCCTTTTCAATTGACATGGGTGATCATGTCTCACTACAATCCCTGTTCTTTATCATTATGTATTAGTTGCTGTATTGACAGAAGATCATAAAGGAAACAGTGTATTCAGAAGCTTCACTCTGTGTCATCCTGTAACTTTTCCCCCATGAATATTGTCAGATGTTACAATATTTCATTTGTGTCCCCTTGTATTTATATGCCAGACATGTTGACTGCTTCCATTTGATGTTTGTGAGAAACTAGCACTGTGTCTTGGCTCTTTCAAAACTAAGGTGTGATTCTGTGGCAGAGAGGTTAGTGAAATCATTTTCACAACGCAATCCTTATTGTTTACCCCCGTTTCATCCCCATCGCTGGCTGTTTAAAAAAGACTTCTTGTGGCTTTCAGACAGTGGTATGAGAGTCACACCATGGAAGAGACTGGGGCATCACCATGTAATATTTCTATATTTACCAGTGGATACAATGCAGCCAACCTCCACTGTGGAGGTAGCACAAATGTTTTCTTTCAAAATATTGCTCTATGGAAATATCTGTTTCACAAATACTTGGCAGCAGAACATAAGGCAGAATGAGAACCGACACCCAAAACACAGACTCATATTATGTATATTATTTTATGAGCAATGCTTTAAAGACAAACAACAACTGTAATATGAAAGATGATTGTTTGGAAAAGCCAAATGTAAGAGGGGCCATTCTGTGATCCTTTGAAAAAAAAATTATGTTCATTCATTCTGTTGTTAATTATAATTATTATTATCTATTAAATGATGAATGAATGGAATAATGCATGTAAGGAGTGAGGCCAAAAGAAAGAATGTAACAGGCCTATGTGCCCAGTTCCTAACCTATGAAGATCATTCATGAATTTGCCCTCACTTGGGCAAAAGGTATCCAGTCTTGGCACTGACTAAAAAGGAGATACAGCGAAATATGCCAGACAATAAATTGTGCAATCTATTGTTTGTGTCTTCATTGTTCAAATACTGAAACTTGTTATTGTGTACTGATGGATTTAATATTTGTTTTCAGGGAGATAGCGGCACATAGGGAAATGTTCCGAATGTAATGATGATAATTTATGTCAAAATATACAATATGTTAACATATAGAAATGTCTGACAGAGCCAGCATGTAAAACTTTAAAGAAAAAAAAAAGAACAAAAAACGAATGAAAGACATTTTCAAACTTAAATGTTCATTCCACTGAAACATGAACAGAAAGCCAATACATAGTTACCATTATTCCGTGCCAATTATTTAGCACTTCTCCCCTGAATATAGATGAGTAAATACAGCACATGCATCACTGGGAGAGTCTAGAAAGTTTCATGAGTTACTTCAAGTCTGTGAGTGTAAAGCTGGATTTACCGTAAGCACCACTAAACTTACCTTATCATTTCAAATATTTCTGGCTTGTTTTTCTCTCTGATTTTCATCCTTTCTTTCATGGCCATGATGATGTTATGTGCTTTATCATCTGCACCATGCTTTGAGCTTTTTTCAGCTGCTCCTGTGTGGAACAAACAACAGACTTATGGTCACTCATATTTGGGTATTAGTAAAAATGGTTATAAATGAATGAGTTATGTTTCTTATTCACTTTTACTGGTTGTAAATTTCGGTGCAAAGTTCTTGTTGTTCATCCTCTTCTGGACTTTATTCTTTTTCTAGAATCTGAGTTTTGTGTGCACATCCATTTTACAGGTCTGGCTTATCTGTAGGCACTGTTGGTTCCTCGCCTCTCAGACAGAGGCATTCTGACTTTGAAAGAAGATCTCTAATAAATACACTTTTATGACATGTATGTTGAAGAGGCAGTGGGTCTATTCCTTTGTATATGTGCCAAAAATGTGGCCCCAGAACATACATGGGGAGTGTGTGAGTGATGAGTTTGATTATCTTCATGGCACTCCAGACACATCCATGAGTACTCAAGATTTCCTCTTCAAAGACATTATACATTAGAATCCCATAGTTAATAGTGCCAGTCCTAAGCTAGTTGACAAATCTTTTTGTATGAGACTCTTTTGCCCTGGCCCAGGTACCAAACAAAGTTGCCCACCCATGTTTTACATTTAGAAGAAAAGCAAGACAAAATCTAATGGTACTATCAAAATCAGAACTCTCCACTGGCAGCTGATGAAAATAAAGCACTTATGGCAATGCCCCAAGTGCCATGATTCTTATTATTAAAGCTGTTGCCAATTATATGCTATCTGATGTATGAGTACTCCCAACCATAGAAAATTTATAAGTACAAATAAGGTAAAAACTTACTCTGAAGGCAGTCAGCATTCAGCAAGTCCTTGCACTTCTCATGACATTTCACCCCACATTCTGTACACCTGACCCCCTGTCGAGCCAATCCCCACAGTAGGCCCTCACACTCGAAGCAGTAGGTAGGTGAAGTAGCAGACCAGACCACAAAATTGTGGGGTGTTGTTGAGGATATTGGGTAAATCAGGGCTTGAAGAGTCTTTTTGTAAACATGCATTTTCTGTTTCAGAGATACAGACATTTCACATAAGAGACATTTTTCATGTGAGAGACAAACATTCATGAAACAGATGGACATTTTATGTAGCAGACTACATTTCATGTAACAGATATAAACATTTTATATTAATCAAATACTCTTCATTTATCATTATAAGGTAAGAAAAAAAATCATGACACCCAGTGTGCTCCTTCTTCTTCTGCCTTTTAGCCACAATCAGAGCACAAAACCTCAAATGACTCATACTAAGCTATTCTACAGTCTGCTGTCTCCCTTAGTTTTGACCTAGTTTTGCCCATAAGTGTTCATCTTTAGATCTTCTTTCTCTTCTACTTTGATTTTCATGTCAGAAGACACATTAGAAGGCCAGTAGCCTTGATGACGGCTGATGCACAGTACAGATCATCCCTGTGTACTACACAGCTTTGTTTTGATTGAAGTAGTGTGAGAAAACCACCTCAGTGATTTCAGATAGTTTTCAGGTCTCACCCCAAACAAAGAAATTAGTCCTGGCCTAAGATTACATAATATAACCAGCCAGTCCACCTGAAGAAAATGAGGTGTCAGAAATGTTACATAATCGGACAAGCCTTCTGAACCTGTAACCTTGGCAAGGGGGAAAAGTCCAGACATGATAGCTCCACTGACTGGTTTCTCACACTTTCTATTGACATTGGGTAGAACCAGATGGGATCCACTTCGGAGTGTAGGCGGGCAGTCAAATGATTGACAGCCACAAGGAAAGATAACTGTTGTTAGAAGGAACTTCCAAGAGGGTTGGGGCTAAAAGGCTCTCCTGAGGGAAAGAGTTTGATACAGATAATGGGGAGGAGGTTTTGCAAGCGCACCATGTAGTCAATTTAATGTGTTTACCCACCCAGGGGAAAGACAACCCAGGGGAAAACCATGAAAGTAAATGATTAACTGTCACTGGAAATATAATATTCAGGACAGTCTGCATATATAAGGTTGGGGAGTTTTCAGCACACAACCTGTTACCACATGTCTATGTCAAAACAATGTCAGTCAATTGTGAAGTCTGAGTGAAGATGGACAAAAGACTTATGACTTCAACTATCATGACAGGACGTGAGAGGGAAGGCAGGAAATGTGCCAACTACAGACAATGTGAGACAAAAGACCTTCAGACTAGACTGGAGAGAATGTGAATATGAGGAGAGGTAAAATACTTAAATATGCGTGCTGTGTGAAATCTAGACACTACACACATGCGCCTGTTTCTTTTATCGCAGTTCCCATCAAGGGCAAGGACCAGTCAGCACTTATCAAAAGCAGACGGTCAAGTGTACAACCTGCTGGAAGCAGTAAGGACGACAGGCTAGGAAAAGAGGCAGAGTCTCAAACTGAGATCTGTCTGAGGTTCAGTTTCTCTAATTTTATGAGCTATGTGAATTTTATTCACAAGAAATATGATTTTCACAACACCATCCTCTTTTTACTATCATATGCACATATTGAGCTAACTGACTGACTCATTATCATCATTGAGGTTTTTTTTTTAATGACTTCAAGATCAACACCATTCATTTATTTCTGTTTTGATTGATTCAATAAAATCTTGTTCAAGTTTTATTAACTCATAGTTGCTAACTATTATTCATATTTCCAAGTGGCAATGTTCATAGGTTGTTTAATTACAAAGACCCAGTTTTGGAGGGTTAAACAAATCACTATTACACTTGGTATGGCTATTTGTTATACATTAATACAAGCTGAGGAGAAAATCGGAAGGGCTAACTGTGTATCTCATTGAATTCATCTTGATATCCAACTACCCTTTACTTACTCCTGTGGGTACAAGTACAGATAATTTAATTTTATTGTACGAGCCACTTTTGCTGTTTTCCTGGTTTTCCAGAACTGTGTCTGGAATCAGCATAGCTTAGATATTAGTCCAATTTCTCTAATGATTATTTTGTTTAACGCTTTATGTTCAAGTGATGCATTTTCACACCACAGCCAACACACTAATGTGGCATGATGGAAAGCATAGAAACCTCCGCTCTAAAAACTAGAACAAATGTTCAAGCTATATAATACAAAACAAATTTGCAGACGACATGCCTGTGAATTCCATGTTGCAGTGTCAGAAATGATGAGTGCTATTCACTCCTTCTTGCAAAAACGGTGCCATGGCACATCTGGAGCTTTTAACACCCCATATGCTGATAACTGTAATATATATATTGTTTAACATCCAGATATCACTTTTTACAAAGACATCACTCTTGCACCAACAGATGACATTCTTTATATAAGTTAGAGATTTTACACATATACCATTCTTTTTGTTTTTACGCAAGCTTCTCTCTTTATACAAGACAAGATTAAACACATATGTTACTTTTTACACAATTCATAATTCTTTACACTTAGTTTATAAAATTTTATACGAGTCTAGTGAGCTCGTGGATAATGAAGAATCTCTGACACGACTGCATGACTTGGGAGTAAAGCATGATAAAGCACGTCTATGCCGCCTCTGAGGCTGAGACAAGAGACATTATAACCAATCTCTCATGGAAACCATTAGTAGAAGTACCCTTGATTGGCTAGTGCATTGGAGGACTGAGCAGGCATGGTAATGTCCAATGTGCATTGATGTCGATTGTGATAACATAACATAACATAAGTCTTAACACAAAAGTTAGTTGCGTATTCTTTACAGGGCGTTGCAGAACCAACCCCAGCAATTTATTTTTTGGCTATTGTGGTTTTTCTAGGCAAATATACATCCAGTAGTTTGCCATTGCTTTCTGGACGGTCGGCTTCTTGGTACCACTGTCGAAACCAACGCAAGGCCCGCACTGGGATTGAACCCTGGACCCCGGCATTACAAAGCTCGTTCGCAATGCCTAAGCCACAAACACCGACAGAGATTAAATACAGATGTTACTATTTACATAAAAGATTCCTCCTCACACAGACATCAACCACAGTTTACCCAAAGAGATATATTTAATAGTTTACAGACATCTCTCTAAACTCTTGTCAATAAAAAGACAATGGACCTTCGTTACAAATTAAACTTATATTTGTCACATATACATTTTAATTTTGCAACAGAAATTATGCTATCTGGGTCACATACACAAATTAACATGTATCAAGGGCTTCTCTCTTGAAAAAAAAAAAAGGTGCCAGCATTCACCATAAAGTGTCTAAAACGGTGCCGGTAATCCCCATAAACTGACTATTACAAAGCTTGAAACAAAAATTATGCCTTTAAAAGGTGCCGGCACTTCCAACCATTGCATAACACACAAAGAAAAGACTTGCTGTGTGTAGCATATCAATTTTTCGGACAATAAACATCTAAAACCACAGTTTACCAGCAAAAATGAAGTCCGGAAAAAAAATACTTTTGCTGATTATTCTGTTTAACGATATAAGTTTGCCAGATACTCCTTCACACTACATTCCACATTGTAATATGTCTTGTCACACAGTTTGAAAAGCTCTGATCTAGACAATTTTACTTACCAACTCCTCATCATTAAGTGATTGACGAGCAACCATAGACGATGATACTCCAGCATTTCTTTTGGCAGCCAAGCTCTGAAATATACAATTTATGAAATAATTAATTTAATTAAATATATTTTTTAAAAATCCACTAATTTAAATATTTAAGAAAGCCTAAAATTAGTAACAAGAAATAACCTGTGTGGGTTCCGGGGCCCTATGTTTGGGGGGTTAGGGGGGGGGGGGTGGTGTGGATAGACCTACTGTTTCTCTGACAAGCACGTCATAAAAATCAACTGATTTGGGGTGTTTCTTTCGAGTTGGAGTGCATCTGCCTGAAAGATGAGGAGCAGACAGTCTGCTTACAAATAAGCCAGATCTGTAAAACAGATGTGCACACAAAACTCAATTTCTGGAACAAGTAGAAAATTCTGCCAGAGTTTACAGCCAGTGAACGAGAAGAAGAGTATGAAGAGATCTCCTGAAAAGTAAAGGAAGTCGAGGTGATGTTGACCACATTTGCTGCTAAATGCATCTCGCTCTATACAAATATAAAGCTAAGCACCAAATGTTTGACCCACCAATGGCACAAAAGAGTTGTACATACTTTCTCTTTTTAATGTTTCAGAAAACATAATTTACAGAATATTCATTGTTTCAATTTAACATTTTGCTAAGCCATTTAGTTATTATAAAAACTGTACTATTATAACTGGTTAAAAATCCAAAACCTTTCTGGCAAAACCAAGGTTACAGTTCTAATAAATACATCGCAATCAAGTAACTGATGTGAAATACATTTCATATACCAAAATGGAAATTCTGGTTAAAATTCAGCCTGCAACACTAAGATTTGTTTAGAACTTTTGTCAGTATTAACATATTTTTATGTAGAATAAAATTCACAGTGCACTAGCTGCAGAACCAATTATCAGAAGTGCTTCAAACAAGATACAAAAAGAAAACCATACTATTTATTAGCAACTATTTCTAGTCTAGGAAGTAACAAAAACAAAATGTGCTTAGATACAACATGGAACGAGGCCTTGCTTGTAAATTTAATTTTGGAAAAAATGCAGAAACAGTAACTGTTAATATGTTTCAATATACCCGTACAATAATGTTTTGCACACTACTGAATTTATACACATATGCAAAGGTGTGTGTGTGTATATATATATACATATATGCATACACATACATACATAAAGAGGCTTGGTGATATAGTGGTTATTGCCTATGACAGCGGTCTGTGTTTAAACCCTAGCACAGGCAGGGTTATCTTTGTCCCAGTCAGGATGGCTCTGGGGTAGTTACAACCTCCTTTTAAATTTATCTTTTTCTTCTTCTTTACTTCCTCAAGTTACAGCAACATAGAGTTGGGGGGAGATACAAACGTATTTTCTGTGCTTTTTCCAAAATGTTGTATAGGTTAGTCTTCATATCTTTAAGTCTGTTTTTAAATGCTCTCATTCCATCTGCTGCATGGTCTTCCCACTACCATTATATTTCTCTAGGTTGGCTCTCTGTAACAGCTGGTACCAGGGCGTTCTCATCAGATGGCCACATTTCTTCTGCTTTGTAGACAACCTCATAAATTCTTCTTGGACATCACTGTATAAGGTATCCCATAAGTTTCCATACACAGGAAAATAAATGTATCTCCAATGCCCTTAAATATCTGCATAACTTCAGCTATGCTTATATGTGTTCATCAGCAATAGAAGTCACTGAAAATGTGTTTCTAAGCAATGGTATTTTTCATATGTATGATAACTTACAGGGCACCCCTAGACTATTTTGAACATTTTCTAGCAACTACATGGCAATGGAACTGGTCTCCTCACCTAAAAACGTTGTGACCTAAAACAAGTGAGGGTCTAACACTTCACTACCCAATGGCACTGTCTATTACATGACTACTTGTAGAATGCTGAGGTTGTGAATCACTCATGTGAAAACAGCACACATGTGTCAGAACTTCAAGTGGCCAGTTTTTCTCTCGAAGATACATCAGTGAAGTGATTTCGTATATTCTTGTTTGTAACTGTAACACTGTTCATTCATGTCATGTGCTGAGGAAGGCTTCTTAGCTGAGTAGTTCACTTGCAATTTATTACTGTGATACTGAGGGAATGAACGAGCAAGACTGGCTTGCTGGCAGATCCACGGTGGGTATAGGAAAAGCAATGGACCTGGCAACATTTTCGATGCTCTCAAGGAGGCAGGATGAGTACAATAATTCAAGAGAGGAAGTTGAATCAACAACATTCAAAGGACTACAAAACTTCAGGTCAAAATAGATGCCGCCAAACATGAACACTAAAACAGGCAGCGAAAGAAGAATAGTAAACCAACATAGAACTGGTGTTATCAGTCGCCACATGCTGAAGGATATATTGAAGATAGGATCGAGTGCTTATGGACTTGCCTGATGTGCGATGAGAATAATCTGTGGATTAACAAACTAACTAAGATAGTGATAATCTGAAGCTGACCGCTTCTACTTTTCATCTGGTCTGATATCTTTTCATGAACCACATGTGGTCATGTACCAGGACTATGACTCATATCAGTCAAGACCTGTCTACACCTCTCTATGGTCATCCTAGAACATGTCCCCGACCTGACCAATGTAGATAGGATCTAAAATCCCATTAACGTTGGAGTGCATCTGCTTGAGAGGCAAGGAGCCAACATTCTGCACACAGTTAATCCAGATCTGTAAAGCGGATGTGCATGCAAAACTCAAGACCAAAGTTCAAAAGTGGATAAAACAACCAAGACTTTCCACTGGAGTTGACAGCTGGTGAATGTGAAAAAGAAGAAGCAGAACAAGAAGAAGGAGAAAGAAGAAGAAAAAGAAGAAGAAGAAGAAGAAGAAAGACTTCATTAAATATATATCTGATTATATATGTACATGCCATGGATAAACTAAAATAATATGGGGAATGAAGATGAAATAAAAGAGATAAATGCAGTCAAAGACACATGGATTGACTGTATATATCAAATCCCACAATCAGTGCTAAAGAAAACCCTTCTCCACCTTCGAGATATGGCCTTGGAACAAGCTGCACCATCACAGGTGGACCAAGTGAGAAAGAAATGTTGGGAGAATTTCAAATCCCACCCAGATCTGAAGTAGCTATAGTGAAACTAGATGTGTTAGCTGAGGGAAGTGAATCTGTACAAGCTGAAAGGACCAAATCAGTGTATCTTCTCTGTAAATAATACAATTCTGTCACCATCGTTTTTGGGACAAACAAGGAAGAATAAGAGGCAAGGGTGCATTTGTTCATATATGCTAGCAAAAATACATGATGCGTTAAGTACATCTGTTTCACTTAACAATAACATAGATGATATAATAGGTAACTAAAATAAAGTAAAATGGCACGTGATTCAACAGTACTGCTTCAACCAAGCTGTAAACAATCAAGGGAAGATATAGTCAGATGTCTCCACCATCTTTACTTCTCCATAGAAACTTCTCAAGTTTTGGTGAGGCTTGTTTCAGGAAAATTATTCTTGATGACTGTAAACAATCAGTACCAATGTCTTGCACACCCACATGAGGAGTTCTTGAGATTTCTGATAATTTATTTCCATAACAACAATGTGAGGGAAACAAATTGTGACTGTAAAAGGAAACAGAATGTGACTGTGAGGGGAAACAAAATATGTCGGTAAGGAGGACCAAAATGAAACTGTGAGGGAAACCAAAATTAATTTGTGAAGAAAAACAAAATTTGTCTGTGAGGGAAACAAAAATATGACTGTGGGAAAAACGAAAATGTTTCGCAAAAGAACCAAAATATGTCGGTGAAAAGAGACAAAATGTCATTTTGAGGGACACAAAACGTGTCTGTGAGATGAAAGCAAATATGACTGTGAGGGAAACAAAAATGTGTCTGTAAGGTGAAACAAATGTGACTGTGTGTGGGGGAGGGGGTGGGACAATGTGACTGTCTGTGAGGAAAAACAAACTGCAGCTTTTGCAAATGTTAAAAAAAACCTGTATGTTAAACATGGCATTGTACATGCTTGTGAGAGAAAACTTGTGATAACCATTTGTGAACAAAAATATGATAAATACTTGTGTGAGAATGAGCTTGTGGGTTATACAAGCTGAGAAAAAAATTGTGACACATCTGCGAGGAAAAGCCTTTAGGACACACAAGGAAAAGCTTCTGAGATAACTGTGTGAGGGAATACTTGCAGCATATGTGTGTGAAGGAAATAAGCCATACATGTGTGAGCGAAAACTTGTATGTTTGGGTGAAAGAAAACTGATGACACGTGTGTGTGTTTGAGGGAGAGAGACCGAGAGAGAGAGAAGAGAGAGAGAGAGACAGAGCAGGAAAACACACCTATAGCAAAAGTCTGCAAGAGAAAACCAATGGCAAAGCTGTGTAAGAGGATAAAACATATGGAAGTGTGTATGTATGTATGTACATATGTATATATATATCATCATCATCAGGTGCCTTGCCAACTGGCGTGGGCGATCATGCCTCTCCATAATCTGCGATCTCCTGCAGCATGTATCAGTTTATGTGCCGACACACCTTCATGCCATGTAACAACACTGTCAAGCATCTTCTCTCGTTGTCTTCCTCTATCCCTCCTTCCACAGATCTTTCCAGTGGTCACAACATGTTCTATTTTCCCTCTTCTCATAACATGGCTGAAAAATGATGACTGTCTTCTTCTGATGCCTGTGATAAGTTGTCTTTGGGCTCCTTCCTCTTTCAAAACCTCCTGGTTGCTCTTTTTGGCTGCCCAAGGTATTCTAAGCATTCTTCTGTAAAACCACATCTCTGAGGTCTCTAGAAATTGTTTGGCCTGCCTACCAATTGTCCAGGATTCACAGCCATATGTTAAAACTGGATGTATGTAGCAATCAAGAATTCTTTTTCTAACTCTCAATGACAAGGATATATTGCACAAGATGTTTTTCATTTTATAAAATGCAGGTTTTGAATGTCCTATTCTGTTTCTTATCTCAGTTATGCATCTTCCATCTGATTTTATCCATGTGCCCAGATACTTAAATTTCTGTACTTGTCCTAAAATAACACCATTGACTTTTATTACACATTTAGGAATAATTTGTTTCTTTGATACCACCATTACTTCTGTCTTCCCATTATTCAAACTGAGGCCCATTCTTCCACTTTCTAAAACCACAATGTCTATCATTTCCTGTAGTTCTTTCTGACTTGTTGCTATCAAGACTGTGTCATCAGCATAACGTAAATTGTTTATATTGTGCCCACCAACCACAATTCCGGGCATATCAATTAAAGATCTCATTATATATCCACTGTATATTGAAAACAAATCAGGTGACAGTACACATCCTTGTCGAACGCCCCTCTTTATGCTTTGAAATGTACCTAAACAGTTGTTAATTCTTAAAACTGCTGTTTGCTGCCAATACATATTCTTTATTATTCATAGATCGTTCCCATCAATGTTTAATTTTTCTAACAGTTTGATTACTTCTTCATGCTTCACACAGTCAAATGCTTTTGTATAGTCTATGAAGCATAAGTACAAATCAGTCTTTACTTCTATAGCTCTTTCTGACAATGTCCTTAGAATGTATATGGCATTGTTTGTACCTTTTCCTTCTACAAATCCACATTGTTCATCACTGATTTCTGGTTTAATTTTGTTTCTTATTCTTCTCATAATTATTCTCAGTAAAATCTTAGTCATGTGACTCATAAGACATATTGTGCGATGGTCTTCACATTATAAAGTGCCTGGTTTCTTTGGTAGAGCTATAAATATGGATTTTAAAAGGTCACTTGGAATAAACCCCCTATTATAAATATCATTTAAAAGTTTAGTTATTATTTCAATTCCAAAATCTCCCAGTGCTTCGATTTCTTCCAGTGAGATGTTGTCTGGCCCGGGTGCTTTTCCTTTCTTCATATGATGTATTGCTTCCTCAACTTCTGCAGTCATTATTGGTGGACCATCATTGTTGGTCTGCAGTTCTACATCTGGTCTATTATCATCATATAATTCCCCTATATACTCTGTCCATCTGTTAATTATATTACTATGTCCCAATAATAAGTCACCATCTTTTGATTTCAAACATACAGTGCTGTTACGTGTGTATATATATATATATAAGGAGAGAATGTCTGTAAAGGTACATGACTCACATATGTCTGTGAGGAGAAATTGGCATATGTGCTTGATTGCAAAATGTATGCTATATATGACTGAAGATAACAAAACTACTGATGTACATGAGTGAGAAAGCAATGTTAAACCTAAGACCTATTTGTCATATGTTCAGGCAACTGAAAGAACATGCACACGTAATATTAAAGAAGAAAGGTCAATATACACATGCTTCTATGTGTAGTAGTAAAAACGTGCACTAACCACGTTTTAGTAACATCTCAAATACAACACATAGTACCACGCCTCATGCACACACATTTATTTTGATTAACAGGCACACAGACAGTATACATACAAAAAGACAAAACATGCTTAACCACACTCATAAATACATTCTTTGTGTGTGTGTCTACTATTGATACTTTTCTGTCAATCCAGATCAGTGGTTGGCAAATTCTTTAGTCAAAAGAGCCAAAAATCAGTAGCCAGACTATTACAATTTGTTTTTAACCAATTCTAGCTCTCTGGGTCACTTTCTGTCCATTGTCTATCCATAACTCAGTGAGGCTGTGCATTTGTAGCCTCTATGTTCCACTTACTGTATGTAGACTTTTATATAGTTCCACATCGTTCATGTTAGTTTATACTGATGAACGCTTTTTAGCCATAATGTTCATTAGTGTCTTTCGTTAAACGGACTAGTTGTACTTCCTATCTGCATTTGGGACTCAGTTGGGGTGCTTTGTTAATTTATTTCATGTTTTATATACATTTTTACAGTGATCTATTTCTCATATATAAAGCTCAGTGTAAACTCAACAAATTCTTTCCCCAAGCCTTTCCTTAATGATTAAGAATTGTCAGGACAAGTACAATGTTGCAAATGTGTTAAAACTAATATACATGCTCTATGGAAGGAGAGTGGGCCATTCTGTTTGATATGAAGTCGTGGAAATGAGGCTGTTTTTGACAAACCCAAAAGCATCATATCCTCAATTCGCCTCATGACACAACAATGGAGTTTTAAACATTTAATGTTAAACAATTCTGTGACATGCAAATGAAAACAAACATACATTCTGACTCTAAAATCACAAACAGTAAAAAAAAAAAAAAAACCATAAATAAGATCAAAGTAATCTCCCTGTAATTAAAGCTGCCAGTTTATAAAGCGAGAAGACCTCACAGATAATGTGTCAAAGAACTATGAAGTGGGGTTATCAGCTTTATTTCTCAGGATTTGACCTCCTGGGAGCCACCATGGTGTAGCACCTAGATGTTCGCCTGCAGATTTGAAGATCCTGGGTTCAGGTCTTGACGAAGCCTATACATTCCTGGGAAGTACCTCAGGTGAAGTAAAGGTGGACGGTGTGATGTTAACCACATCACCCACCGAGTGCTGATTGGTCTAAAAAATAAATGTCTAGCCCTGTATGTCCAATACATCTGGAGGCATAGAAAGGGTCCTTTATCTGACCTTCTAGCAATGTTTGGTACCTACTTCACAAGTCTTGGTTAACCTTAAAACTATGTGGGATCAGAAAAACAATCTCTTGTTATCTAGAGATGACCTCACATATAACAGGTCAAAGAACTAACCAATCTGGGTTAGCTTGCCCAGTTCAACCTAGCTTAGAAATGGGTGCCAGAAAGTAAAGCAAATGTGGCGGACATAATATGACCTGACCACCCATTCACCCAGTGAGGTCTGACTGGTCTATAAAAAGAAGGGGCTAGCTCTTTCTTCTTCTGAATTCATCCTTCAAAGGGCACTTGGCATCTTGTAGTTTACAGCTAGGCTGTGAGATCTGCTCCTTTAAAAATGAACAAATCTGATTTCTGCAAATCCTCAATTAGTTTCCTCTTTACTTAATGCTTTTAAGCACCCTGTTCAATATGTTTCAATACTTAAAATCAAGACCTTGAATTTACTTTAAATACAATACTGCACTTCTACAGTAAGGAGAGTCTCCATGGTGAAGTGGTCAAACCATCTGAAGGTCGTGGGTTCATTTCATTGGTGCAGTTGCTTTCATGCAATCCCTAGGGGATCATCGCTGGAGCTACAGAAGTTGCGCTTTCTGCGACAGGTAGTTAGTTGTTCTGCACAAAGAGACTGAGCCAAATGGGATAAAACCTGGTGCAATTAAGTCGATCTTCTCTCCTAAGGTAACCTAATACAATTAAAAAAAAAAAACAATCATGCTTATGTGAAAAATGATTTTATAACAACAGAAATCTGTGACAGATGCTAAAAAAAAAAAAAACCAACAATGTATATTAATAAAATCGAAACAAGAGCTTCTGGTCTGTATCTAAAAGTACAATCAACAATCTCATGCAACTGTGACAAATAAATTAGTAATTTTGTGAATATAAAACCGGTGGCAGATAACCAATCAATAGCTGGTGAATAAGTACAGCTATGATAATGCACAGGTGGTCTCATTATCAGTGCACTAATAAAAATATGCATATCTGAAACTGACTACAATTCAATGACATGGAAGAAAATCTACTGTACGGTGTAATAAAACAAATTAAGAACACGACGGTGTTGCAAATTCTGAAAAGTGACTACAAGAAAATGTGGAAATTGTACCTTCATCACCTGTGAAACATGTGGAAATGAGGTTCAGCATTAAGAGTTTTCGACAGCAGTTAATCCATTAACTATTTCAGTCTTCAGAAACATATGAAGCAGCACTGGCTTTTACCCTTGAATTTCAATTATTACTCAATGTGTTATCTAATCTTTTATATTTGGTCACAGTTTGCTGCTGATGAAGCTTTCCCAGTGGCTACTTCACTGTATGTTTAGTGTCTTTGAAAGTCATGAATGTGGGATTTTTCATGACCATTTCTCCAATTTAGCATTTACTATAAAATTCACTCCTGAATCCAAGTTATTCTGCAATGTGTTCTCTAATTTGTGTTTATCAGGTCACTGAATATTGATGACTGGCTTTCCCAGTATCTTTGAAAGTCATGAATGCATGATTTTTCATAATGATTTTGCTCTCCCTCCCATTTTGGCATTTGTTAAGGCATTCAGTACTAGTACTGAAAAAGTAAACAAAACATTCAAAACTTAAATTTATAATATTTCAAAACTAGACTGGCTGTAGTAATACGTACTATGAGTAACATCTTTATAAATATGAGTTGTTGGGACAGAGACCACTGCTATTACCGAAAACGTTTTACCCACAAAAAGAGAGAAAAAAGTGTAACCACATTCAACCTGCTGTCGGCTAGCCGAAGCTGCCAACAGCTTCAGGTTATATTTGTAAAAATTAAAGAAGTAAAGGACCCTTTTCCACGCCTTTAGGCCTATACGGCATATAGGGCTAGACCTATATTTTATAGACCAATCGGCACAAGACAGGTGATGTGGTCAGCATCAGGCTGGCTGCCTTCACTTCCTGAGAGCCAAGGTCATCTTTGAAAAGGATATATTTGTGGTCTGGTTTATTTACCCCACTTTCTTGGCTAAAGTTCTGGTATCTGCACCAGCTCTCTGGCTCAGTCCTTCTTCCCTGTAAGTCAGACCACAAAATCCTTTCCTGTGTTCGAGTGTGTTCCTCCTGTACTTATATTTCTAATGTTTTCCTCTTGAAACTGTGCCATCAATGGTTTAGTGTGCTGAGGGGAAAAACTCACTGCCCGTAGCAGTCACTGCACAGGTTTTTATATATATTTTTTAAATTCATACCGTGGATAAACAAAAACCTTCAGTCATTTCATACAGGTGGAACTAATAAATTACAATCTGGTTCATCATAGGGTTGCCAGGATTTCTATCGTAGAAGTCTGGATATTGTTAGATTTTTGTAACTGAGAATTTGGTACAATTCTAGATTTTGTAAATGAGAATCCAGGACATTTCTAGATTTTAGAGCTCACAAAACCAAGATATTTTAAAAACATAATAAGAATTATATATATCAAACAAATGAATATTGCTATTACTTACACTAACAATAATCAGATATTCTGGAAAATTTAATATCTGGCAACACCAATTAAAATATTTAATTAGAGCATAAATGCTTTCCAATTCTAGAGAGTGTATTTCAAGCCAGAGGACACTCTTATGGCTTAGTGACCTCAAGAGGCATGGTTCAACAAGTCCTGTACTTGGAAAATCAAGAAAGTAGTCTACAATACAGTTAGAAGGCTGCCAATCATAAATCAATCGTAGGCACAGAACAATGCCAGTTGCAATAGATACAGGAATGACCTTAGTATAAACAAAGAAGACATGGTTGTCTTTCCGTTCTATTTTACCTACTGAAGATTACAGACAGATTAAAGAAATGTCACATTGATTTGTGTGTTTATATTGCAACTAAGTTATATATTTTTTTCTCTCTACATAAATCTAAAGGACTATAATGCATTTTTCTCATCTGCACCAAAAAAATCAGAAAAACCAAAACATTAACAACATTTGTGCTAGAACGATTAGCATTTCCAACATCACACATCTCTGCATGACATAACAATTCTGTAAATGTATTCTTTATGTCATGGCATAAAGACCTGGAAAATCACACTCTCTATAAATGGTAATGTATTAGCACAATATAAAGTTCAAATGCATCTTATAATTTAATATTTAAAACAATCCATCAATGCTGAATGTGTGTGTGTGTGTGTGTGTGTGTATATATGTATGTATACACACATACATACATACACATGAAATAGCTGTTGCTGACTTTCACTTATGAATGGGTGCCAATAGTCACATGTGAATTAACAAGATTCTTGTTAACATATGAGGAGAGAAAGAACTGGGTTCAAAGATAGCATAAACTATAACTTACCAAATCACTGACAAAAGGTATGCTCTTTCTTCTTGGTTTAATCTCAGGCATGCTATCGATGCTTGTGTAGAATGGGTTATACTGCGGTGGCCTAAAAGAAATTAAGTATAGAAAAGATTACACACTTGTCTCTTGTGTTAGTCTCTTTTTGGATCATGAGGCATACAGGGTATAAATAGAAACGGATCCTTACTATACCAGTGGTTCATTGGATCATGAGGCATACAGGGTATAAATAGAAAAGGATCCTTACTATACCAGTGGTTCAGTGAGCAATGTGTTGAAGCATGTTGGAAGAAACATGAACACGGCAGATGTCATCAACGTTGTATGGACTGGGCTAATGGATAATAACGAATCTCTGATGCTAACGCGATTGTGTGACATGTGAGTAAAGCATGGTGAAGCATACTATGCCGCTTTCGAGGCCGATACAGGACTCATTACAATCAAGCTCTCATGGGAACAATTAACAGAAGTACTTTGGAGTGGCTGCTGCATTGGAGGATTGAGCATGCATGGGAATGTCCAATTGGCAGCATATTTTTAAGGATCAAGCAGCACTCTGTGGGTAATGTGGTCAACATTATGGTTGCAGCGTTAAAGTCCCAGAACATTGCCTGGTACATATTTTAGGCTGGGTTGATCTGGAAGCTAAAATCAGAATCTAAAAATGTCTGTCTCAATGCAAATTCTTCTTCTTCCTCTTTTTCAGGTTCACTGGCTGTAAACTCCAGCAAAAAATTCTGGCTGTTCATCCTACTCTGGATTTAGACTTGTTCCAGAACCCGAGTGTTAGGTGCACATCCGTTTTACAGATTTGACTTATTTGTATGCAGACTATCGATTCCATGCCTCTCAGGCAGATGCATTCCATCTTCAAAGAAAACCCCCAATTAGTCAGCTCTTAAGACATGCTTGTTGGGGAGGTAGTGGGTCTATTCTTGTTTTCCCCACAATATGGCCATGAAACTCACACAGGGAAATGCACATTCAAACCAAGACCTCAGGGACAGCAAGGGAAGCATAAAGCCCCTTTACTGTGGCTCTCATTAGAAATATGGTTACAGCCTAATACAAAACCTAGTTGGTGGAGTGGTTAAATGCTGACATGCAGATCGCAAAGTCGTGTGTTCGGGTCCTGATGATACCGGACTATTTTTCAAAAATGATCTTGGTTCGCAGGTTGATCCAACCTTGAATGTGTAGCACATGGATTCTTTGGGTGTAAAAGTGTCCTGTGTGATAGTGACCACATCACCCACTAAGTACTGATTGATCTATATGATATAGGTCTAGCCCTATATGCCAAACGCATCTGAAGGCAGGAAAAGGGTCCTTCACTGTACTTTTTAATAGCCTATTATCTTTAAACTTTTGTGTTTGATAGTTGATTTAATCAATATTATGCTAGCCAATTTACTTCACAGGATATATTTTTCATTACCATTTTAGACCTGGAAATGGCTAATGAAAGTAGAACATTATATACAACAATGAGAAGGAGTCATGTGATGAGAAAAGGAGCACTGGAAAATATTCTGATGACTGGAAAGATCACTGGTAGAAGAGACAGAGGCAGACCAAGAGAAATTATAGTGGATGGCTCAAGACAGTGGCATGGAGGAATATCATCAGTGTAACTGACCGAGATCTGTGGAGATGAATGAACGCCTGTGCCAGCTGGCAAGGCACTTGATGATGGGGGTGACCATTGAGGCTGGGTTAATGTGAAATTCTCTCTAAATGAAAAGAACTGCTTCTTCGATGGAGACCCGAACACAAGACCACAAGGCAGTCAAGCAGGTGTGCTAGCTACTTTGCAGCTGAGACTGCTACTCTTGTTTTACTGATGATAGTTTATTACTGTCTCAGAATCTAAGGGAGAGGTAGAAGGATAAAATATTGGTTTCAACAGGAGGATCATACCAGGAGATGGAATAGAATGAGGATAGTTCTCAAGAGAGCTTCAGGGGCCTACTGTGTAAAAATAGATCCCCTGCCCCCATAAAAAGCATGTCATAAACGTTGGCTAATTAGGTGCATTTTCTTGAAAGTCTGAGTGCATCTGCCTGAGAGATGAGGAACAGTCTGCATTCAAATGAGCCAGTTTTGTAAAATAGGTTTTCACACAAAACTCAAGTTCTAGAAAAAGAAACAACCAGAATCTTCTACTGGTGTTTACAGCTGATATGTGCAAAGAAGAAGAAGAAGAAGAAGAAGAAGAAGAGGAAGAGGAAAAAGAAGAAGAAGGAAGAAGAAGGAGGAGGAGTAGGATAATGAGGAGTAGAAGAAGAAGAAAAAGGAGAAGGAGAAGAAGAAGGAGGAGAAGGAGAAGAAGGAGAAGAAGGAGGAGGAGAAGAAGAAGAAGAAAAAGAAAGAGAATTGACTGTACTGTACTGGAAAGAGGTGAAGCAGAAAACCAATATAGTGATTCATTGTTAGAATGTCAACTCATCTGCTCTCTATAGAAAACAATTTTGGTCTTGATGCCTTCTTTGTTGATTTGTCGTCTTTGTTGTCACCAGATCAAATCAATGGCTTAGGATCAAACAGACACCTTGATATTGAGAAAATTACAATTCTTAGCCACAATACAACTGTCACTATAAGTTATCAATCAGAGCTGAGGTTCAATTCGTTGGCTCACAGACACAAAACATCAAACACAATGTCAACAAATCGTTTTTAGGCAAAATGAGGAAAAAGAGGCAGTTGAAATCAATAAGTTTTATTTACCCGCCATTAACGTGTGACCAGGTCTTGTATCTGTAGCCATCTTCAGGACCCATTCCTGAACCAGTCTGTGGACAATTGAAAGCAACATATAAAACAAATGATAACAGACTATGTATCAATAATGTGTCAGGCAATACACTGCACAAGCTAGTGTTTGCATCTTCTTTGTTAAAGTTCACAACAGGGAAACATAGCTTTAAAAAATAAAATAATTCAAACAAATTGTAATAACTATACAGATGTGACCCCATTTTGTTGAGAAGCAGCTTAATAAGTCTTGAAATCAGACGGATGTAAATGGACAATGGCCCTTGTTAACCCATCATAGATGAAAATGATCAGTGATTAGCAATGAAAGTAGTAAAGAATTAAGAATTACAAGCAACAACAAAATTCACAATCTGTTTAAATCACCATTAGTTACTAACATCAGAAGGGCTTATAAATTGCAATGGCTGGGGTAAATTAAGAGAACAATTGATAAAACAGGGGTAAAAACTGTATACACAAAAGACCAGAAGTAGGTCTTGAGGTAGACTGAGAAGATGTGGACTGATAATATTTAAGCAGAACTATAAAAATTTGCAGAAGTCCAGAAGTCAGGAAGTGGAAAAAGAAAGCCAGGTAAAAAAGATGAAAGAAAGTAAGTGCAATGAACCTGATGGACTCATATAGCTGCAAAAAATACAACTGTAAAGAAAGTAACATAGACATACTAAAAGTCATCTTCAAGCATACCTGACTATGGGTTTATTTTACACTATGGAAGCATGTAGTGTATGGGACCCATATTTCACTGTGCTACACAGCATGTAGTAGCACATATGAGACATAGTTCACTGTGCTACACAGCAGGTAGTAGCACACCTGATCCATTTTTCATGGTGCTACACTTTATGTTGTAAATATGATCCATAGTTCACTATGCTATAATTATGTAGCAACTATGACCTATAGTTCACTGTGATACACAGCATACAGCACATAAGACCCATATTTCACTGTCAGCATGTAAAACATCTGACCCATAGTTCACAGGGGAACTCAGAAAGTAGTAGCACATATGACCCACAGTTACCTGTGCTACATAGCATGCATAACATCTTACCCATATTTTATTGTTCTACACAGCATATAGCACATATGTGCTACACAATATGTAGTAGCACATATGTCCCATAGGTGACAATGTTTTACAGTAGCTAGTAGTACATATAATACATAGTTCAGCATGCTATACAGCATGTAGAACATCTGACTTATAGTTAATTTTGCTACACAGCATGTAGCACACCTGACCCATACTTCACTATGCAATACATCATGAAGAATATGTGACCCACATTCTACTGTGCTACACAGCATATAGTAGCACACATGACCCACAGTTCACTGTGCTACACATTATGTAGCACATATAACCCATATTTCACTGTTTTACATAGTATATAGTAGCACAAATGACCCTTAGTTTACTGTGCTATACAGCATGTAAAACATCTGACCATAGTTTACTGTGATACGTAGTATGCTGTAGCACATATGACTCATAGTTCACTGTGCTACACAGCATGCAGAAAATATGACTCATAGTTCACGGTGCTAGATTTTGTGTGTATTGACTTGCCCAAGTCATGAAAGCATTTGATACTAGTACTATACTTTTATCGAGCCAACTAAAACTATAATTATCTGCTAAAATCAAATGCTAAGATCAAGATCACAATGTATAAAAAACACTGATAAGACCATTTGTGCTGCATGGTTCTGAAATCTGGAGTACAACTAAAAGAGCCGAAGCCTTATTAGAAACTTTTATGAACAGAATTTTACAACCAATCCCTGGACCCATCAAAGATGCAAACAGCCGAGAATGGAAAGTGAGAAGGAACACAGAAATTCATAATCTGTTTTTCTCCTGTGGGTTTCCAGGGCCCACTGTGTGGAAAACAAGTACAGATCCACTGCTATCCCAACAAGCATGATAAGAGTCGAATAACTGGGAGCTTCCTTTGAATTCGGAGTGCATCTGCCTGGGGGTGGGGGGGGGGGGGGGGGGGGGGGGGGGGGGGGGGGGGGGGGGGGGGGGGGCAAGGAATCAACAATCTGCATACAAATAAGTCAGATTTGTAAAATGGATGTGCAAGCAATACATAGGTTATGGAACAAGTCTAAACTCCAGAGGTGGACAAACTACCAGAACTTTCCACCAGAGTTTAGAGACGGTGAACAGGATGAAGAAGAAGAAGATACTCTGTTTAAATCACCACTAAGAGCAATGACTGGGACATACACAGAGAATACCAGATAACCAAGACCAAAAAACTGTGTACACAAAAGAGTTGAATGGGAGTTGGCCACAAGGCAGACCAAGCAGAATGTAGATGGAGATAGTTTATATTTTCTTCTTCTTTTGCCCTCTATCCCCAAATGGGGCATAGGCCCTCAACCAACTCGGGCCAAGTCGTTCTACACTTTGCTATTGCATGCAGCTCACCCAATATCCTCCCACCTTTTAAATATTACTCTCTAGCTCACTTCTCCGTGTGCTTTTGGTATCCCTTTACGTCTATCTCCTCTAGGTTCCAGTGAAAAGACATTCTAGTTGTACTGTTCTCAGCTTTTCTCAATGTGTGTGTGTTTCTATCTAACGCCAGCATCTTTTCCTTTCCCCTTGGTCCTTTGGAATTTGCCTAGCTCAACATAAGTGATTCTATCATACCATTTAATTCCCTCTATTTTGCACCAGTACTAGTTAATGAATGTCTGTAGTTTATTAATAATCGTTTTAGTTGTTCTCCATGTTTCCGCCCCATTCAGCAGTAATGATTTGACATTAGAATTACAAATTTTAGGTTTAGTATTAGTTTTAATTTCTTTGGAACTCCACAATTTTGATAATATATTTGCAGACCTAAAACACTTCGAGTCACCAATGGAAAAAAATAAGATCAGTCAGGGAAGTAAGTGGAGGCAGCAGATATCTACAGGAATGAACATCAAGGCTGAAGTAAAAATGTTGACAAAAAATATCTTGTTCAATCCTGAGAGTTATAAATGGGATTCTAAAGTGTTCATCAAGTTCTCAGAATATATATATATATATTTGTTTTTTTAAAAATATATTAAGTATTTATTTATCTAAGACAATTATATAATTTGTAATATTTCAAATACTGCTTTGTTTACATCTTTCTGAGCTGAGTTTAACACAGAAATTTTACTACGGATATTTAGACAATCCTAATAATACTGTGTCATTAAAATAGTGGATTTATTATGCCCTTGGTATAATCATTGACTATCCTTGTCGATTTGATCTTCAGAAGACATTTAAAAAATAATGGCATTCCTTACCCTTCTAAATATGTACTTTACTTCTAGTAATAAATTGCTTAACCTTAAAGGTAAAGGGAGATGTGAGCCAGCGTCATTGCACACGGTTATAAACCATAAGTGCTCTGCCATCATTACAGACAGCTGATAAGAATTGTCCGCCTGTGTCGCCGTTCGCACGTAACTCTGTAGCTACAGAGACGTTCCTCAATTTACCCTAGAGTGTCAACACTGGTACCCATTTCCTAGAGGCTGGGTGAACCCCGGGAACCGCCCGGTTTCGAACACCGACCGTGGTCTGCAGCGAGTCGCAGCTGGATTTGAAAGCGAGCCTCTTATCGATTGTGCTAACGAGGCTCCGCTTAACCTTGCCATGCAGGTCTCTGAGGCTGATCCTCAAAGGCCCAGAATAGTAAAGAAGAACTGAAACTCTACATGTAACGTAGTCATTATCACACAGGCCACCTTGACTTCTCAGAACATAGCCCGGTACCCATTTTAAGCTGGGTTAAGCAAGTCAATTTTTAAAATCAGCCTCGGTGGAAACTCGAACCTTAGACCATTGGGGACTGCAACCCAACGACTCGACCGATTAAACTGTAAAATGTATGCAGATAGTATAGCCCTTTCTGGCAGAGAAACTACAGGTTACACCAGGCTGCTGTCGCTCTTACGTTAGCCCCAAATGAAACTTTTTTTTTCCTGAGGTTGAACAGGGTCTCTGGAATTTGTCTTGCTCGTCTGCCACACATACTGAGATTATGTGATTTCACTCAGTCAAACTTCATATCATTCAGAGGGGAAAACAGAAGAGAGGAAAGGAAGGAAGTAAGCAGATAAAAGAATTTAAAAAAATAGATTTTTAACTGTATAAATAAGACAGATGTTTGCACCTAAAAGTGTTGCATTAAAAAAAAAAAGGACGGGAACCTGCTGCTGATTTGATCACCAGGCAATGTCCCGTAGCACCAGGGACCAGGGAAAATAAGCGAGGACTGCTTCAGTGGTTCACGAACGTGTCCATCAATGACAGCAGAGAGCAAACAGGTGTTAACTCCTAGGTCGCAGCCACTTGTTACTTTAACTGAGTTCCTATCATAAGTTATTGTTGAAAGGAAACGTTTGATGCTAGAGTCAAATGTTTAGATTCCCGATAGTCACATGAGTGTCAGAGATTCAACTGGCCATGAGTGTCAGAGATTCAACTGGCCAGACAGATATGAGATTTATCTCACAGATACTTTATTTAAGTGATTTTGTCTATTCCTGTTGGTATTTGTGGTATTGCATATTTATGTAAAGTGCTTATGAAGGCTCTCTAGCCGCAACGTGCACTTGTCGTTTGTGTTTGTGATAATGTGCAACTGACTAGTTCTACTTTTTTGGTTTTGGAATTTTTTCATATATTTTTCGGACCAAGTGGCACTGGATAGGTGATGTGGTCAACATCACGCCGACCGCCTTTACTACTCAGGACAATATCTGGTACCAATTTTAAACTCGGTCGACCGAAGGACCAATCAGAATTAACAAAAATCCACCTGGATGCGGGATCGAACCCAAAACCGGCGGTCCAGAAGACACGGATCTAAGCCTAGATCTTATCAAATCTTGTATGTTAGTGTTACACTTTTTAGAAAAGATAATTTCGACACACAATAATTGAGCCTTCGGAACCGCAATGGAGTGTCTAGCCGTTACATAACATGTTTTTAGTTAAACAATAAACACATCACGAGTAGACAGGGAGGGAGTTAGCTAATGTAAAAAGTATGAGAGACGTCAATTTTCAAGAAAATTATATCCCGTAAGAAATTACTGTCACGAAAGTTTAGAGAGAACAATAATGGAGGGGTATATGACTGGGAAGAGAGGAAGAGAAGGCCAAAGAGAAGATGGGTGCAGGATGTGGCGAATGATCTTCAGACGGGTGTATCGGACGCGGGTCAACTTGCTTGTGATCGAGAAGTTTTTCGGAGGGCCTTTATAGGAGCAAAGTTCCACAAAGGACATGCTACTGACTGCTTGACTGAAGAAATTACTAATAAAATCATACTGATTTGCTTGGTACTGAGTGGGTTAAAGAACAAGTTACCTTCCCAATGATGACGTTATCGTCGGAAGAAAGCTTCTTGCCATCTCGCTCCCAGGCCCACAGTGACGGAGCAGCTTGGCGACGCTGGCATACAGCTATAGTCCTAGTTCTGGCTAATTTGGATTTCTCAAAGGCGTATCTTGATTCTATGACCGGGTTCTCCTCACAGGCGTCCAGTCGTTCATCCTTCGACTCCTCGTCAACTTCCACCACCCTCTTAAGACCACCGATGCAGATATCCCCGTCGTCCAAGTCAGTGCTGGAATTATTGCTGGTTGAATGAAGGAAAAACGAGCAGCGATGCTGAAGGCGATGCTTGCTGAATTCTGGGACGACCGCGTCCACCATAACATCAGTACCGACCGGTGCGTCGTCTGCCGCTTCGAATATATCAGGACTACAGTCCGTAAACAGCTTGTCATGATAAGCTCCCATGTTACCAACTTAGCCAACTTTTCAGGGCAGACAGCATGGGACTAATTAAATTCTGCTGTCACCAACTGTCGGCGTATGCGGCTTAGGTGTTACGAACACCCTTCCATGTTCTGAAATATCCGGTTAGATTCAGCTGTTGGCGATAGGGTAGCAGATCGTTTTGTCAATGGTATGGATTGGCGACCGTCTAGTCAACAACAAACTACTGAACGTAACCCCGTCTAATAAAAACTAAACAGCCAATACAATGCTGGGTGGGGTTGATTCTGCAACTTTCTGTAAAGGACACACAACTAATTTTTGAGGGAGTCACAAACTCCAAAAGTAAACTCACATTTTTGTCTACACACTAATACTAACAGTAATACCCTAATGTTTATAGAAACTTGCTGTTTCGTTTAGCAGGTTATAAAAAGCATGGTTGTAAATTTGTCTTTGTCCTGGTATAAATGGCAATTGCATTTCAGCGCAGTGGATGTTTGAATTTCAGCTAAACGATTCGTTTATTTGCTTCATCGTATTTTATTTGATAGAAAGCACATGAGGAAATAATGCGAAAAATGGGAGATAATACATGGTACACAATATGTTGTGTGTGTCCTTCTTTATTTAAATACCTCACATCTCTTCAAAGATGCTTTGTCTATTTTATTTCTACGAAGACTTTTTTTTAAAAACTGTAGTATTTTCTCTAAGCTCCGATGTTTTACTGAATTCACAAAACTAATTTTAAGAAATGTGCCCCTTTTTTAACAATCCGGTGTTAATCCGTAAATCTTACGAAGCCTTCAATGAAGCACAATGTTATGTGATCTGATCATTGTGCGAAGAGCATCATATGCTACATATAGACTGTAACCTTATACCCATAACACTGTCATCGTTTTGTATCACAAGTTTTACTGTACACAAAAGTAATGCGATACACTTAACAGTGGCGAGAAACTGGTGTTTTCCCTACAACAAATTAGTCCGTAATTTCCATTTTCCGACAGGATAATCCGAACTTTATGAAGACAGTATAAATCGACAGCGGTCATATCTGTAGGTGTTGTTTTTCGAATTGACGTTAGGCTGCACATACGTTAATTTCAGTTGAATAAAATCCGCACGCACAAATAGATTTGAACAGCACAAGTGATACATAAACAGTTGTTCAATCATGCATCATTATCATAATCAAGTAACTTGCCGAATGCCCGGGCGATGATGCTTCTCCGCGATTTTTAACAGCCTATATCAATTCACGGTGCGTGAACATTAACAAATAAATATCCGCTAAAACTTAACAAGGAAATATCCGATAAAACTTACAAGTAACTCAGCAAGTAACGAAATTGCTGACAACGGAATTCACTTTAAATTTTCTTAGTTCAACACACTATATTTTTCACTGTATTTTCCCTGTACTTTTTATTCGCTGTTATAAAACAGCAGGCAAATTACCATGTTCAGAGAGATAAAATAAAAAAGCGCACTTTCAACATCTCCAACAGTACTTTTACATTAAACGTTTCAAAGATAGACTAGAGACGACACAGCAGCATGGATGTCGGGTGATAACTAGGGGGAGGGAGAATAATGGGTGATAACATAGGGCGGGCAACACCTGTGCGCCAGTGTTCGCCGAATCACAACAGCAGATGGTAGAATCGCAACAGTGTAACTAATACACATTAACATATTATACAACACATTAATACAACGCTACACAGTTGCAGCTGTTGACAACAAGAACTACACTGTAGGCGAGCGTATGTGTGGAATCTATTAATGAGTGATAATACGAGCAGTATGGTAAACAATCAAACGGTATATGGGCCGATTAAGGGCAACAGCTACACATGCTAAATAAAATATTACTACACAGACCGATAATAACAAAACAATACTTCATGTTATGGTGACTGACAGAAAATGCTGCCAATGAAGGCAAACGTGCCATCTAAACAAGCACTATTCATCTATGATTTGGCCAAATTGCAACGCCAGTTGGTCAGCAGATAACAAACAACCTGTTGCTTTGTTACGTATGACCGTCCAGTGAGCAATGGCACACTCCTGACGTAAATTTGCCAATACAAACCACGACAGCCAAAGAATGCTCTGGTTGGTTATGCAAAGTCCTGTAAAGGATATGCAACTTACTTTGTGTGTGTGTGTGTGTTTTGTTTTGTTACGTATGCAGCATGGAGCACAGAGCAAACATCAAACTAGGTTTCAAACTCAGAACAAGTGCTACTGAGATGGTTGTATGGGTAAGACGATGTAATGTGTTCAACATTTATGTCGTGCATCCGATGGTATTCATGATTTAAAAATGACTGAAGGTGAAGCTGGACGTCCAGTTTCTATTCTTAATGATGACCTCACTGCCTGTCACAGAAGGATAAGCCAAGACTGATGTCTACTGTGAGGATTATGGCCGATTATTATAATGCTGACTTTTATAAATACTGATCATCATAAAGATATCTTATCAGTTCAACTATATCGACAGTATATTTGAAAAAAAAAAAAAAAAAAAATCACACACCAAAAAAAAAAAAAATAAATAATAATCTGTATACCTGTGCTCAATGCTGCACACGTAACGACGCAAACTGTCATTGGGCAAACACAATGGTGAGTAACTCGTCTACTGACCAGGTTGCGTCACAATTTTGCCAGATCATAGATGAATGGGTCTGTTTGGATAACATGCTTTGGTTCTCGGATGACATTTTTGTTTTGGCTAAAATGAAATGTTTCATTATTCATTTACCGGACTGTATACTACTACTGCTGCTGCTGCTGTTACTACTACTACTACTACTATTAATAATACTACTACTGCTGCTGCTACTACTACTACTACTACTACTACTACTACTACTACTACTGATACTAGTACTACTACTGCTGCTGCTGGCAATACTACTACTACTACTACTACTGCATGGCTGTTGGGTGAACAGTCGTTAACGAAGGCAGTCAGGTCGTTGTAGGGGCAACGCCTGCTGGTGGATGTAATGTCCTAAGTCCCTTCCCCAGCTAATAGTGAGGGTACTGCTGGGGTGACCATTTATTAACCCTAATATAATGCTTCAGGTCAAAATGGACGCTAGGCACGGCCCCCCCTTTTTTTTTAGCCGTGGGAAATGTTTTTTTTTTTTTTTTGCTTTTGCCAGACGGTGGCCGTTGCATTTTTGCTTCATTTGCAGACTGGAAGAATATAGTTTCGTCGCCCAGCTTCTGAGTTGAGTGCATGGTGTGATACTGTGAGCTACGTGTATTTTTCGTTGGCACAGGAGCGGAGCAACTATGGGGTGACCCGTTTGCTATGAAGCTGAAACTAAGATTACCAGATTACTACTACTACTACTACTACTACTACTACTACTACTACTACTACTACTACTACTACTACTACTACTACTACTACTACTACTACTACTACTACTACTACTACTACTGCTGCTGCTGCTGCTACTACTACTACTACTGCTACTACTACTACTACTACTACTACTACTACTACTGCTGCTGCTGCTGCTGCTACTACTACTACTACTACTACTGCTGCTGCTGCTGCAGGTACTACTACTACCACTACTACTGCTGCTGGTACTACTACTACTACTACTACTACTACTACTACTACTACTACTACTACTACTGCTACTACTACTACTACTACTGCTACTACTACTACTACTACTACTGCTACTACTACTACTGCTACTACTACTACTACTACTACTACTACTACTACTACTACTGCTGCTGCTACTACTACTACTACTACTACTACTACTACTACTACTACTACTACTACTACTACTACTACTACTACTACTACTACTACTACTACTGCTGCTACTACTACTACTACTACTACTACTACTACTGCTACTACTACTACTACTACTACTACTACTGCTGCTACTACTACTACTACTACTACTACTACTACTGCTACTACTACTACTACTACTACTACTACTACTACTACTACTACTACTACTACTACTACTACTACTACTACTACTACTGCTACTACTACTACTACTAGTACTACTACTGCTGCTGCTGGTACTAGTACTACTACTGCTGCTGCTGCTGCTGGGTACTACTACCACCACCACTACCACCACCACCACCACCACCACTACTACTACTACTACTGCTGCTGCTGCTGTTACTACTGTTACCACTACTACTTCTGCCATACCAGACATAATATGTTAATTCTTCAACCCATCCGCCAGTCGAAAAAAAAATTATTTCACGCTTAAACTAATAATTTCCTTTAAAAAAAGTGCCGATGTATATAATAACATGTATACAACATATGAGAATATTGCACAAGCCAGTAATTTTTATATCTCCAAGATATATAGATAAAGCTGTGCATAACGAAAAGCGTGTGTTTGTTCTGTTAAAAATGCGCTGTATGTTGAAATTGTATTTAATTAAATACCTTGTCTCGTGACTTAGAAGTTCAGGGTCCATCTCGTCAGAATATTTGTATGCATACTAAGATTTCTAAAAGCAAAACTGGCATGCCGAGAAGAGGAAGGAGGAGCAGGTAAAGGAAGAGGAGAAGGAAAAAGAAGAAGAAGAAGAAGAAGAAGAAGAAGAAGAAAAAGAAGAAGAAGAAGAAGAAGAAGAAGAAGAAGAAGAAGAAGAAGAAAAAGAAGAAGAAAGAGGATGAGAAGGAGGAGAAGAAAGAAAAGAAGGAGGAGGAAAAGGATGAGGGAGAGGATAAGAAGGAGATAAAGTCGACGACGAATGCAAGTAGTCCTTGCCATTAAATGAAACAACAAACCACAAACAGTGTACACAATTCAGGAGACTCTTTGCTTCAACAATATAAATAAAAACGCTGCTACTGGTCTTTGACAGACAGAGACGTAACAAAACACGATAAT